TCCGGCGACCTGCGAAACTCGTGAGTGGAGTGACGCGGCGACAAAGACGACATGACGCAACAGCCGGAAATGGTCTTCCGAATCATGAAAATTGCGTGCGACGGAAGCGGTTGCTCCACTGAGTCTTGGCTTAGTGCCGAGAGCAGCATCCTTCATTCCGAGTGACGGAATATCGGCCGTCGAAACTGGCAGTCTGAAATGAACGATTCCCGAGATTGCCGGCCGGGAACAACGCACCGTTTTTCGAAGTACGAATCAGCGGCGGAAAGCAGCTGTTCGCATATGGCAGCAGTAGTGTTCGCGGACCGGCATCGCAAGAGTCAACAAGTGGACGTTCCGATGCGTCGAAACGGTCAACAGGGCGCAGCGGGACGCGGCACGGGAGATCGCTCTGGGCCGTACGGCATGACAATCGCATCGAGTTCCTCGCCGTTCCCTCGAATTTCGCACCGTGCGATCAATGAATGATCAACGGTACGTAAAAGCGAAGGCTGGTGGGGGGAAGGGAATCTTGTAGGCGTCTGGAATCAGCACCGCCTAGAGAGTCTTGTCGCTCTCCTTCTTCGGGTCGCGTTTCAATCAAGCTTCCCACTAACGCGTGTCCCCCGACGTTCTCCCCTCTGCGTGTGTGTTGGAAGCATTGGAAGCACTGTCACGGACGGTCGCCATCGGTGCCGCAGTGTCGGACGGTCGCCATCGCACCACTCACCCCCGACGCTCTCCCCTCTGCGTGTGTGTTGGAAGCACTGTCACGGACGGTCGCCATCGCTGCCGCTTGAAGGACTGCCGCAGTGTCGGACCAACTCGAAGGCTGCTTCAGACATTCGCAGAATCGCCTGACGTCGCTCCAAGTTCGAAAACCGTTATTTTGCTAAATCGTTGGCGATCAGGGAAAGATCAGCGGTACGTGAGAGCGAAGCTTGGTGGGGGGAAACATGTAGGCGTCTACGATAGGAACGCGTAGAGAGTCTCGTCGCTTTCCTCCTCCGCGTCATCCGTGAAACTACCCTCCCACTAACTCCTGTCCCCTCCTTCTCCCCCTGTCCTCCTCTTTCCCCTCTCTGCATGTGTGCGACTAACTCCGAGGAACGGATTTCGGGTCGTCGCCGTCGCTGTAGTCGCCAAGCACTTGAGTCGCCAAGCACTTCAAGAATCGCCAGGCGTCGTTCAGAGTTCGCAGGCATGCCTTCGGAGATCGCAGGCGTTCGCTTGAGAACCGTTGACGACCGGCGGCAATTAACGGAACGTAAGCGCGAGGGCTGTGGGGAGGGGATTCTGGTAGGCGCCTAGAGAGTCTCGTCGTTTTCCCCGCTTGAAATTACCCTACCACCAACACGTCTACTCTTGTTTTTTTGTCCTCCTCGTTCTCCGCTCTGCACTGCCAGGGACAGCAGCGGACATAGCATGGCACGTGCCAGGGGGTGCTGGTTGGGGGGCCGTGAAGTGAGTCGTAGGGCGTCGCCGCGCAGAGGCAAGAGTCCTTTCCCTTGCCTCCACCACTCGCCTCCTTTCCTACTGCTTCTAACCCTCCCTTGTTGCGCTGCTCTGTCTGCGTTCCTCTCTCCCCTCGCGTGTGTGTGCTGCATGGCCTGTGAGATGGAGGGGAATGGCGGGGAGTGGAGCGGAGGTGACAAGCTTGGGGGATTAGGCGGCCCAAGACACAGCAGCAGTGCTGGTGAGTGCAGCAGCGCTGGTGAGTGCAGCAGCGGGCTGTGATGCCAAGCGCTCATCCCTTGTCGTGCATGTGCTTCACTGCGTTCTCCTCTGAAATCTCGCCACTGGTTGGTTTTGGACTGACTTACAAGCCACAGTCCCTTGTTGTTGCAGGTATCAGCAGCAGACAACACACAACGCAAGCCTGACAGCTGGAGCAGAGCGCCTGACACGTGGAGCACGGGCCGCAGCAGGTGCTGCTTGGGGCGAATGTGTGGCGCAGGAGTGGCAGGCTCTTCATGGAGGAGAAGTGGTACGTTCCCAGGGGTGCTTGCGGGGGGGCCGTGAAGTGAGTCGTAGAGCTCGAGCCCGAGCTCGAGATGCCTTAGTTTTACCTTGCCTTGCTTGTATGGCTGTATTACGAATGTGCTGTACTATCTTGCTTATTCAATGAAGGACCATGAGGAGTCGTAGAGCGTCGCCGCGCAGAAGCAAGTGTCGTGTCTTCACCTCTCGCCTACACCTCTCACCTCCTCTTCTGCTGCTCCTGACCCTCCTTGTTGTGCCGCTTCTGTGTGTGTCTCTTTCTCCCCATGCGTGTGTGTGCCTCATGTCCTGCGAGACGGACGGGGATGGCAGCAAGTGGACGGGGATCACCGGTGGCTGCGGCGACTGCAGGGTGATGGCGAGTGTCGTGAGTGGATGCAGCACACTAGAGGTTGTGAGTGGATCAGGTCAAGCTGTACCCCGCTTCACTTCTCACCGCCTTCTTGCTTTCTCTGTCACTTCCTTTCTTGTCTACCATTCTTCCACGGGGCCATGAGTCTTTGCAGCGGTGCTGTCAGCTGATCGTGCCACTCTTCTCTTCTCACCTCCCTAATCCCTTCTCTCCTGTCCTCTCCTCTCCTCTCTGCAGCGACCGGTGGTTGCGACAACTGTGAGCAGCAACGGAGCAACCGTGAGCACAGGCAGCGACAGGGCGCTGCTTGGAGCGAAGGAATGGCGCAGCAGCAACAGAGCAGCCTGGAGTAGCACGCTGGCAGACAAGGCGTGGTGCAGGCAGAGCGGCAGGGTGGCACACGGAGCATGGTACGTGGCCGGGGGTGCTTGCGGGGGGGGGCGTGAAATGAGTCATAGGGCGTCGCCGCGCAGAGGCAAGAGTCGTGTCTCATGTTCTTGTCTTTGCCTCGCCTCCTCTCCTGCTGCTCCTAACCCTCCCTTGTTGCGCTGCTTCGGTGTGCATGTTTTCTCTCCCCATGTGTGTGTGTGCCTCACGTCCTGAGAGGCGGACGGGAATGGCAGCAAGTGGAGGGGGACTGTGCATGTGCGTGTGAGGGAAAGGGGGAAAGAGGGTTGGGGTGTGCATGTGTGCGTGTGCGTGTGTGCGTGTGAGTGTGCCTCTCAGCCTTCAAGCTCTGGAGTGTGGCGGATTGCTCTTTGTGAAGCTGCCTGCCCTTCGGTGGGGACAGCAAGACAAGAGGTAACTTGGAGTGAAGATGCAGCAGCAGGGCGAATGCACAGTGCGTTGCAATTTGTCTTAGTCCCTTCCCAAGCTAGCATCTGCTCTTTTGCGTCCTCATGCCTCTCTTCCTCTTCCTTGCCATCCCTTCTCACCTCACCTCCAGCACTCACGGAAGGCAGTGGCTGCAGCAACCACAGCATGATGGAAAGCAAGCACACAAGGACTTGTGACTCGAGCAGACCAACAGTTTGCTACTCCTCTATTCACCACCTTCCTGCTTTTTGTGTTCCGTTCCGTCTTGTCTACTGTTTTCCCACGGTTCTCATAGTCTTTCCCAAACCTCTCGTTTCCTGTCCTCTCCTCTTCTCTGCAAAAACGCGGCGAGAGCAACCACTGCAGCAGAAGCAGCGGACTTCGAGCAACCTGGAGCGCGGGCAGCAGCTTGGGGCGAAGGCTTGGTGCAGGAGCAACGGAGCAACATGGAGCAGCACGGAGCACACAGGCGTGGAGCAGGAGGCAGAGCGACCGAGGGGCAAAGCGGCAGACAGAGGAGCGTGGTACGTGCCAGGGGGTGCTTGCAGGGGGGGAGTGAACTGTCTTAGGGTGTCGCCGCGCAGAGGCAAGAGTCGTGTCTGTTGCTTGCGAGTCCACCACTCGCCACCTGCTGCTTCTAACCCTCTTATGTGTGCGTATGTCTCTCTCTCCCCATGTATGTGTGTCTCTCTCTCCCCCCATGTGTGCGTGTCTCTCTCCCCATGTGTGCGTGTCTCTCTCCCCATGTGCATGTGTCTCTCTCTCCCCATGTGCGTGTGTCTCTCTCTACCCCTGTGTGTGTGTGCCTCGTGGCCTGTGAGACGGAGAGCAATGGCAGCACGTGGACGCCTCAAGTGAAGGCGTGACGCTAAACTGGGAGAGCAGCGCACGGAGCGTGGTACGTGCCAGGGGGTGCTTGCAGGGGGGCCGTGAATTGAGTCGTAGGGTGTCGCTGCGCAGAGGCATGTGTCGTGTCTGTTGCCCTTGCTTCCGCCACTCGCTTTTTGCTGCTTCTGACCCTCCCTTGTTGTGCTCGTGTGTGTCTCTGTCTCTCTCTCCCCATGCGTGTGTGTGCCTCACGTCCTGCGAGGCGGACGGGAATGGCAGCGTGTGGACGGGGACTGTGCATGTGCGTGTGTGGGGAAGGGGGAGGCGGGTGGGGGCGGGCGTGTGCATGTGTGCGTGTGCGTGTGGGTGTGCGTGTGCGTGTGTGCATGCCTCTGAATGTGCCTCTCAGCCTTCGAGCTCGTGGCAGATTGTTCGTGGTGCAGGAGTGGGAGAGCAACGGATGGAACATGGTGAAGATGCAGCAGCAGGTGAGCGCATCCCCATTGCGTCTTGTCTCAGTCCCTTCCTTCTCCAGCTGCCATCTGCCATCTACTCTGGCTTGTCAGTGCTCTTTCTCATCCCCAGCCGCTCATCCACTCGCTTCTCCTCTCCTTTCTCAGTTCTCTCTTCCTCCTCCTTTCCATCCTTGCTCCCCTCGCCGACAGCAACTGCAGGATAGTGGCGAGCACACAAGCAGTGGTGGTGGCACCAGTAGTTGCAGCATCAACTCCCACTGCACTGGTTGCAGCTGCACCAATGGAGGGGTAATTACAGTCGACCCTATGCTTCCAAGTTCCCTCTATATGTTTCTTGTTTAATATCGCCTGTGTTCTTCTCTAGACTCCAGTACCTTACTTCTTTCCCGTCATCCCTTCTCCCCAGCCCTCCCTCCTCTCTTTCTGTATCGTAAAGTTATGGTGCCCTCGCCTCTCCCCCCCTATCCCTTCACCCGTGCCCTTGTATCCTATCGTTGTTGCGACCTTGTTTTCCTCCTTTCTCCATGCCCCATTGCTCTCTCTGGCAGCATCCGTGGGGGAAGCAGTGGCAGCAACAGCAGTGCTGCGTATTCCACATGGGGGATCCGCACGTTACAGCAAGCTGCTTTCTCTTCCAACACAAGGGGTTGACGGTGCCGCAGTAGCGCGAGTGCACCATGCATTGCCTCTTTTATCAGCGGCGTGAGTGTACCAAGTGTTGCTACTTGTCTCAGCAGTGAGAGTGTACCAAGTGTTGCTTCTTCTCGACCTTCCCTCTTCTTTCTCATGTTTCTCGTCCTCCCTTTTTTCTGTGTCCTATTATTGTGGTCCCTCTCCATGGCCCATTCATGTCCCTGACCACAACTGTGGGAAAAGCAGTGCCAGCAACAGCGGTGGCAGCAACAGCAGTGCTGCATATATCTTCATGGTAAATGGACCGCTTGATTCTGCAGGGGGGAGTTGCTGCCCTTGCAAACGTGCATTTCTCACATAGTTTTCACAACGGCTGTCTGGCACAAGTATGTGTATTTTTTTCCTTCTCCCTAATCTTTGTCCTCCCCTTGATTCCATGTGGCATTGTTGTCCTGCTGGCTGGCCCTTGTGTGGTGATGTTGCAGGGCGAGGTACTGGACTGCCACATTGCTGCTTGGTGGTGGGTGGGCCGCCAACAACTCAACATGCACCGCTTCTGTGCTTACCCGCGCGTGCTTGCTTATCTGTCCTTAGCTTTGCTTAGGCGTGGCTAGGTGTGCATATCTTTGCTTAGGTCTGCTTAGGCGTGCTTATCTTTGCATAGGTGTGCTGTGTTGCGCTGTGCTGTGCTGGATGGGATGGGCCTGCATGCTGTAGAGTAGGTGGGTGGGTTGCACAACTTGGAAGGCGGCTGGGCACATACCACAAGGACTCAAGCAGGGCAGAGCGTCCTCCTGCTGCAGGTGCTGTGCCGTGCTGCAGGTTCCCTCCTGGCTCATGCCGTTGTATGAGGAGGACAAGGTGCTGAGCTGAGTGAGAGTGAGGTTGAGATGAGAGGCACACAGGTAGCATTGGTGAGAAAGGGGAAGTGCGGGAGACCCACACATATGGTGCATGCAGCAGGCATGCACACACACGACCAGCCATACATGAGCTAGGCAAAATCCCCCACGTACAAGCTGGGATGGTAAAGACTGACAGGAAGCAGCAAATGCTCACATCCTGTTAGGGTACATTCCTGTATCGACACAAATGTCTCAATCCCGTCATATAACCAATGTACCGGTCTGCACCGCATTACACCTAAGAATCGAAGATTTCCACCGCACTGCATCTCTTCGTTTGAGACGCGAGGCCTTTGTGACGCGCTTCAGGAATGTACCCTTAATACAGGAATGGTCACAGGGATAACCACTCAGATATGTATATAGATAGGTGCTGGAGACTGGGGACTGGTGGGCGACAGAGCTTGCCATAACATGCAGACCCAGTCCCTCTATCGCTAACCCTGCCCTGCCTTTGTTGCATCGGTCATGCTGGTGTGCCATCCACTGATACGATGGTGATGATGGATGAGATGCATTTCTCCTGCTTTGTTGCATGCTGCTGATGGAAGAGAGCACCAATATGCTATTCTAGCACCCATCATTGCCACCAGCACAGCATGCTTTATGTTGTGATGTCCAAGATGCACAGGTGATTCATTCAGTACCTTGAAACACTCGCTGTTCTGAGATTCTCAATTCTTGAGCAGCCGCCGTCTTTAGTTCACACAGCTTATTACCATATGCGCAGGCTAGAATACAAGCAGCTTGATAGCACAGATGCTAATGTGAGCACATCACCACAGACCTACTCCACAGAGCCTTATCACCGTAGGGACGTCACCAAGCGTGGGTGTCACAGGGTTGTAATCATAACGTGATTGTTGCTCTAAGCGATCACAAAAAGGTAAGTGGAAGCGGCCAAAACACGGGTGCACCTAAAAGCAATCAGTAGGGCGGGCACGGTTCTAGAGAGTGAAGGGGAGGGTAACCTCAGCCTGGCTTGACCACACGGAAATAGTTACGCGGGAGGGTATGTAGACACACCAGGGTACGGCGGCGGGGGACTGGACGGCATTTGGCTTCCAACGCTCGACTCCATATCGAATTCCATGGCCGCTTCTTCCTCCTCGTCCGCGGCGCCCCTGTGCGTCCATTGCCGGTACTTGTGCTTCATCTTCTCCGTCAGCTTGTGCGGCACCCAGCCGTCGATCTTCGGCCGCCGGTGAATCTCCTCGGAGCGCGCTAGCTCGCGCGCGGATTTCAGCGCATCGAGGTCCTCGTTATGCTCTATAAGGCCGAAGTGGTGTACAGTGCAGCCGAGCATGAGAATAACCATCTGCGTCATAAAGATGAAGAAATAGATCGCGCCGAGGATGCGTACGTACTGCTCCGCGTCGTACATCTGGTACGGGTCGGCGTTCGGTTTCAACGACAGTACGACGTCCTTGAAACGGAGGAAGATCATCAGCGTCGAAGCGCACAGCCCCGCGGCGCTTATGAATAGGCAGAACAGGTGGCACTCGAAGCACCCGACCTGCCCAGACGCGATCGTGCCGAAGAGACCGGAGAGAATGACGAGGGTGCTGAGGAAGAAGAAACCCCAGCCGGCGGGGAAGGTGGGCGGCGATTGAATGAGGAAGACCATTACGATCGTGGCGGCGCCGCCGACGATGATCACCATGTTGAGGAAACGGAGGAAGTTCATAGCGAGGATGGCGACTGATCCCTTGAGGGACTTCTTCTGCTTCGCCATGGTGTCGTCAACGTGCGACGGAGGCTAGATGCGTCGCTAAGGTCGCCTATACGATGGTCGCTGTATTGTATGAGATAATGGAGACTGGTATGAGTGTCAGACGATGGTGCTGGCTTTGGCAGTATCGCGCTGGCTAAAGTATGGACTCTCGGCAAATGAGGCGGTCCTTAGACCATTTCTAACCGTCGACAATTGAAAGATGATACCTTGAACGAAACAAGCGGCGAAATGAGGAGGATGTTGAAAAATGAGCTATTTAGTCACGCATGAGGAGAATGACAGAGAGGGAGCTCTCAACACGGGCGGTTCGAAACTGTGGAATCGAGAGGATTGTGGAGAGGGGCGATTTGTTGCAGCGAAGGGAGACGGGAAGGGGAAGGGGAGAAGGCGAGGCGAAAGGGTTGGGCAAGCCTCGACAGCACAGCGGAGCACAGCAATAGCCACCTGCGAAATTTGACCAATGCATCGGATCGCAACGCATCGCATTGTGTGATTTCGAAGTCGCGGCTCGTTCACTCGGGACTGGACGAACGTGTCGCCCCTTGGTCGCCAAGGGTCGCCAAGGGTTCAGGAACGGTGTCGCGTGAGGATAGCCATTGAGGTATAGCCGCGTGGCTTCATAAAGAGGAAAGCTTTCGATATAGTCTTGGGAGAAAGCGACGAGGCACCGCACCTGTGATATTTCTGCTTGTGTCACAGCATCGTAACAATCACATGACGCGCTGTCAAGTATGGCATCAGAAATACAGCAGATGTAACACGCATGAAAGGTGGTTAACCATATGAATGGGGATATTAAATATATCAGCTATTTAATGACATCATCATTCAGACAGTCGTATTCATGATATCCATATATTTTTTTATTCATCAATAGTCAGATAATTATGCACAGCTAGATATATTTGTAAATAATGTGGCGTTTGAGATGTCTACATTATGAATGTGGATTAGTCTGGTGTGCGTGTTCGTCTGGTAATGTGGTTGGAGATTTTCCTCGTTATACGCATGCCGTGCCCAGCTTCGGGTAGCGACAAAGTCCCCACGCCAGCGGCTGCTGCAATCACAGTACCGTATCTGGACTACCGTACAGAATGGTCAGCCGGAAGTTGATACACCTAGCCACCGCTATTTTCAACTTCCCACCTTGGCACTGTTCCCGATTTTCATATAAACCCTGCCCAGCTTTCGGGGTTTTCTGTTAGAAACCTCGGTATGGGGGACTACGAATGACGTCAAATGCTGGACGCTGGAGATTTTAATCGGGCGAGTGTAAGACAATTTCCGCTCGTGTGGAGTCTGCTTCCTGTTGCGCATCCCATTGCGCAGCTTTCAGGAGTCAGGAACTAATTCTGCGTAGAGCGTATGACGTCCGACACAACCCTTGGTAAAAAATGTTTGAGGGGTGCATACCCCTTTGCGCACGTGGGGGTTGAAAATAGACCGAAAGAAAATAGCGGTGGTTAGGTGTACTTGAGTGGTTCTATGGGCTAAACACCCTAAACATTGTAGCCCATACTGCGCAGAATGGTTACAGTAGTATATTATGGTATGCCAAACCATTTCCAGTTTTTTCATCCCGTCCTTTAGAAAGGCTGCAGCAATATCCCAAGGACAAAAGGAAAAACGAACATTGTTATTGCTTCTGCGGGCTGCAGAATAGGTAGTTTGGTCTGGTGAAAATGAACAAAGCGTTGCTCTAGCACTGGGAACGAGGAGTTACCTAATTACCTAAGGGCCGTTGACCGACATCTCGTATAAACTATCATGGACTTTCTGCTAAATTACCTAAGTACAGTATAAACGAAAGCAGACCCTTACGATTCTCAATGGCGGCATTCTGCTACGGGCATCTTGAAGCGAACGACCCCTCAGGTCAGGGTACAAATGTTTCGGCTTATAGTCCGACGGGTTGAGCCGAAGCGCGTGGACTGTATGCCGAAATTTTCAAACCCCAGGCAAAACGCGATATGTATAGTCCCGTTCAGACAATTTACATGAATAGTGGTTTGTTTGCTAAAATGTTTGGTTTTTGGTCTTTTTCTTAAATTTGGACCGCGCTGGCTTCAACTTCTTGTCACACGCTTCCACGCGCTGATCAATTTCGCATGACCGACGGGAAAAAGAAAACAAAATAAACGATGGTTTGGGGGTCGATTAGAAGGTAAAAACTTCTGTTTTACCCTGTAAACGAGATAAACGTGATGTCATCGTCGAGCGCGCTGGAGACCGCGCAACAGGATTGAGAAGTGATCACGGTCAAGAAAAACAATTACTTAGAATTTGGAGGTTAAATGTCGAATCGATGATCCCTTATCTATAATTTTCTCCGGATGTTGGGATGGTTCAATTTGGAGCCTCTGATTGGCTGCGGAGCTGATTCGTGCAATGATTCGGTCAAGCCTCAAAATTTCCCACCAAAGATGGGACTATAGGGGTCGGGACAACCCTAGGCAATATCGGAAAATTCTACTCAAGATGGAAAATGGACTCATCTAGCAATGGCATTTAACCTGGAACACCTGTAGCATGGTAGTTACTGTACTGGCTTGATACACCATCATTCTCAGTCTACGCACAATTGGGAGCACTGGCTACAAAGCGTCTGATTGCTTGGACCCTAGCGATCTGGTGCTTGGAGCCGAACTCTAGGTAGGTGGCGGGCAAACGCACTCCCGGGGAACGGTAAATAACGGTATGTAAACTTACAGTTAGTTGTTCGTACGGTTAGGTACGGCAAATGTGCTTACAGCGTATGTTCTTGGACCATGTTGGACGCATTGATGTCATTACAGCTGGCATGTTCATGTTGCGATTGTGCACAGACTGAGAATGAGGGTGTACTGTACTGGATGGTTTTCCAAAGAACAGCCAGTGTGGCCTTTGTCACGGAAACACAACACAGGTTCGTTCTGCTCATCCAGCTTATGAAGGGACAACCGCCGTGACAATCGCATTGGTGGATAATACGGTTTGCTTGAAAAACAACCAATACGAGCTTCCTCGCGGTGAGGAAAAGGCGCTTATAAGCCAGAAACACCATCCTCTCACTTCCCAAAAGCCAAACCAGGCACGACATATCGACGCTGACGAGGCGATGTCAGATTGGTCTCCTTACCACGTGGGCCACGACAAGGCAACATTGGATGAGGGCTCACGTGAGGAAGTCAATCGGTCACCCGAAATGGAGCTTAGACGGCCTTTGCCTCAACAAACCCACGATGTTTAGCTAAACATCCAATACCAAGCTGTGTGGGAAGGAGAACCTTTGTGCACTTCACCCTAAAGCACCGTGTTTAAACTTGTTCTCTTCGGCCTCCACGGTCCTTGAAAGCTGGAATGGCTTCAATTTGAGCCGCACCTGGTTGCTCCCTCATGGTCGCGATCGCGCCTCGGAGATTCCTACTTCTGCTTGGTCCCGCGCCGCCGCCAGCTGCTGCTTTGCGCAACTACGACCATTCGCGCGCCAACGTTGCGGAAGTCTGCCAATCTCATTCCCCAAAGCCTGCCCATTGGGCAGCATTTCTCCCCCCAAACCCCACTCTGCTCCTCCCGCAGCCCCCGCCAAACCCCTAATCCGCTCCTCATCCCCGCCCGCACACCCTCATCAGCCAATTCCCGCGCGACTCCATCGGATCAAAGGGTGTGCTGCGGGGGGGCCTGGAGTATGCCTTCAGCCTCCCATCCCATCATCACCCGTCCATTCGCGGACTACATAACTCCGTGCGATTTCTCATTTCTTCACACAGCAACTCTTTTCCACGACATTTTCCAACTGCGCTTCTTTCCCCGTCCGCGGATTTCGAACTACCCGCAACTCCCCGTGTGGGCTCCAGCCGCTGCCAGGCATCATGTCGGGTCTACCTCCCAATTGTCCCCCAGGGGGCTTCGGCATGCCTCGTGAGTATCTTCGCAACTCACCCCTTCCCGAGTAACTCGCTGTAACACAGGTTACCAGGGTTTCCCCACTTCTCGCAAAACTCTCCCCAATCCCTAATTTCTTTTCAATTGAAGCCATGAAAGTCCCAATATTATTTTCTCGAGTGCCCGAATTACTCATCGCGCATCCTTCGACGCTCTTTTCCTCGCAGAGTACTTCTCGACGGGCTTCAACGGCCAATGTCAGCAGGCGTCGTCCTTCTTCGGCGGCAAGCCCCCGCTCGACATAAGCGTGGGCTACGCGGTCGTGCTGGGCTTCGGCGCGTTCTTCGCCGTGTTCACGTCGTGGCTCGTGTGGCTGGAGCAGCGCTACGTCGGCACGCGCCAGAGCTCCGAGTGGTTCAACACGGCGGGCCGCAATGTGCGGATGGGGCTCATCGCGTCCGTCATCGTCTCGCAGTGGACCTGGGCTGCCACCATTCTGCAATCCTCCAACGTCGCCTGGCAGGTCCGTTTCGAAAACCGCCTGAATATTCGGTCGGATCGCGCCTTCGAACGTAAATAAGAGACCAGATTGAAAAATCTTCGCGTTTTTTGGCCCAATGTGACTCACATCCTCCTGTTTCCCGTTGCTTCAGGACGGCGTGAGCGGTCCGTTTTGGTATGCGAGCGGCGCGACGATTCAGGTGCTGCTGTTCGGCATCATCGCCATTGAGATCAAACGCAAGGCGCCCAACGCGCATACCGTCTGCGAAATCGTCAAGGCCAGGTACGACGACGCTGAGATAATGGCCGTGGCCGCGCATGACCGCAAAATGCATCTATGCGTAACAAGCGGCGTATGAATGGTTTGATTCAACGCGAACAGTCATGTCGATGCCCTTTTAGTAAGCGCCCGATTTGAAGTATTTCCCGACCAACATTCTTGTTTGGATGTTTTTTTTGTTCTTTTCTTCGCGACCCGGCGGAACAGGTGGGGCACGGCGGCGCACATCGTGTTTCTGTGCTTCTGCTTCCTCACCAACATGATCGTCACGGCCATGCTGCTGCTCGGCGGGTCAGCGGTGGTCAACGCGTTGACCGGCCTCAACATCTACCTCGCGTCCTTCCTCATCCCGCTCGGCGTCATCTTCTACACCCTCGCCGGTGGCCTCAAGGTGGGTCGCGACCCATCGCTTCGCATCGGATCGCACGGAAAAGATGGACTCGGTAGATAATCCGAGTTGTCCTTTTGCATTCCCTTTTCGAGAATTTCTGTCAACGGACGTCGTTTAAAACATGTTTCCTTGCACTGATCCGTGCCATTTTCGATCTCTTGTCCTACTATTCCCCGCAGGCGACGTTCCTGGCGAGTTACATCCACTCCGTGATCGTGCACATCATCCTCCTCATTTTTGTCTTCCTCGTTTACTGCACAAGCTCGTGGCTCGGATCGCCGTCCAAAGTGTACGACAACCTGAGCTACGCCGCGAGCCCCACGCGCGACTGCTCGCTGCAGCACCCGGGGCAGCACTGCGGGCCGGTGTCGGGCAACAAGGACGGCTCGTATGTTACCATGATGTCCATCAATGGCTTCGTCTTCGGCCTTATCAACATCGTCGGCAACTTCGGCACCGTTTTCGTCGACAACGTAAGCACCCTGCGAGATTCTGCGAAAATTTCGTAGTAACAATCATCCATCACTCCGGAAATCTGGGCCCAAGTAACCCATCCCGTCAAGCCTAAACCGTTTTCGTCTTTTGTCACCCCTCTCGTAACAGGGTTACTGGATGAGCGCGATTGCGGCGAAGCCGTCGTCGACGCACAAGGGGTATCTGTTGGGCGGGCTGGTGTGGTTCGCCGTGCCCTTCTCCCTCGGCACGTCGCTCGGGCTCGGCGCCATCGCGCTCGGCCTTCCGCTCACGCAGGCGGAAGCCAACCAGGGGCTCGTGCCGCCCGCCACGGCCGTCGCGCTGATGGGCAACTGGGGCGCCGTGCTCATTCTCGTGATGCTCTTCATGTGAGTCGATGACGGGCGCGATTCATGCTCATCGCATTTCGCATTGCTCCAATTTCTTTTCCGTTGCACTTCGCTTTGGCCTCTGCACAATAGAGGATTTTTTTTCACGCTGCGTTCCGCTACACCGCAAGTGAAGTTTCTCACAAATCGGATTCATTAATTTGCGTACGCAGGGCCGTGACTTCCGCTGGATCCGCTGAGCTTGTTGCCGTTTCAACTCTGGTGACGTACGATATCTACCGTACGTACATCAACCCCAAGGCGAACGGCAAGCAGATCCTGCTGTGCTCGCGAATCATGGTGCTCGCATTCGGCCTCTTTATGGGCGTCCTCGCTATAGCGCTCAACCAGGCGGGAGTGTCCCTGGGCTGGATGTACCTCGTGATGGGTGTGCTTATCGGAAGCGCGGTCATTCCTATCGCGAACGTGATTCTCTGGAGGAAGGCCAACGGTTTTGGTGCTATTGCTGGCTGCCTCATCGGCATGGTTGCAGGTGCGTTCAAATGAAGGTGCTCACCTTCATACACTTCATACAGGCACAATTAAGAAAACCCATACTTGTGCATCAAACATCCTGCTTTGGTGAAACCAAGTTCCATGAACTCTATCCTCTGTTCCTGTTCCACAATGTTGACAAATCCACCAGACGTGGCTATGGTGCATAAATCATACTAACTTTTCTTTCCCTTTGCCCCATCTCCAACAAAATCCAGGCATCACGTCGTGGCTGGTGGTGGCCAAGGTGCAGTACGGTGTGGTGGACCTGGACAGCACCGGAGCTAACTCCTCCACACTCACTGGCAACCTCGTTTCGATCATCACTGGCGGCGCTGTGCACGCCATCTGCAGGTACACCTCTCCTCCCCCCACCTCCTCTTAAGGCACATTGAATGCGCATTATAGCATCGCTGTTGCGAAATGAAGCGCCATATTAGCGGCTGTCCCCCCTGAAACACATCTGAAGCTCAACCTAGGATTGCAATGTCAAACCAGGATTTCCAAATCCACTCCAAATTGTACCCAACGCAGTGGAACCTCCCTCCCTCTCACCATCCTCCGCTTTCTCGCCTGCTTTCCCTCTGCCTTCCTCCACCCCACCACACGCCAGTTTCATCAAGCCAGACAACTACGACTTTGAGGGCACGCGGTGCATCGCCCTGGTGGACTCAGACGGGCACGCCGAGGTGGACCCCGAGGAGTACAGCCAGCAGAAGCTCTCCTCCGCCAAGAAATGGATCTTCATCTGGGGCTCTGCCTTCACAATCGTCATTGCCATCCTCTGGCCCATCCTCTCCCTCCCTGCCGGTGTCTTCTCCCTCGGCTACTTCACCTTCTGGGCGGTTATTTCCATTGTGTGGGGATTTGTCGGCTCGGCGATTATCATCCTGCTGCCGCTGTACGAGAGCTGGTCGGATCTGTGCCTGGTGATGAACGGCATGTTCACCAACGATTTGATTCTCGAAAAGGTGGATGATGTGGGGCTTAAGGTGACGGCGCTCATGTCGACCAATCAGGATGCGGAGAAGCACTATTTGCTGCACAAGGAGCAGATGAAGGAGCTGAGGGCGCAGATGCCTCCTCCGGCCCTGGAGCACAAGGAGTTGGTGGGAGAGGTGGATCTTGACTGAAGCTCATCGCAGTGAAGGTGCATGAGGTGAACCCCCACCGAGTGATGGCCAACTGGGCAGGTTCACAACGTTTCTTTTTCCAAAGCAGCGTACTTTTGCTCTTTGTGGGAAAGTGGTTTCACTAGTACCAAATTTCTAGGGATGCAAAAACCTAGGCATAAGGGGTCAATAATGTATGTACCGTATGTTAATTTATATAAGACAGAATATGACACAACTGAATGTAATGTGCAAGATACCGTAGTATGTCAGCCCAGCCCACCATCCCCTCTCAGGCATTGTCTGTGGCCACCAGTCAGAGGGGATGAAATGCTTGAAGATGGTGGGGTTGGTTGGTGCATGTTCCAAAGCTACCCCGGGACAGAAGAAGGGCGGTAGCGGGTGGGAATTCAAGAAACTGTGCATCCCTTGCTCGGGCACTGCAGTTGCTGCTGTGGTAACTGTCTGACTGCACAGTGTGCAATCTTTGAGGGGAAAATCTGTCAGGTGTGATTGGTTGGCTCTTAATCTGGAGGAAAATGCCCTCACCAAAGGACAACACCATCATACAGTAGCAAGGACTAGCAAGTACTCTTGGCTCAAACATACCGTAGTAGCCCACAGATGCACAGTGGCAGCAGCAGCGTGGTGCAATAAATGAAGCATTTTACAGGAGGCAAAACAAGGGGTAAAGTGTTATGCAATCCAGCAGCAAGGCTAAGGCCGGGAGGGATGGTCAGCTTTCAGGTTGGCTGTGTAGACGGGGGGGAAAACGCAGGTTAGGGAAAGGCGGGAGGAAAGAAAGGAGGAAAGGAAGAGACGACGATTGGATGAATGCGTGGTGCTGGTGATGGCAGCAGCAGGTGCCGTGCAGATGCAAGGGAGGGCTGTGCGGTATGAATGCTGGTGGCAGGATCATGTTCTGTTTGACACTCTGTTGCACACCAGCAGTGTTGATGCATGCCATTGGGGCTAGAAACACGGTACCTATCACAATGGAAGCATGGGTTGGATTGGAAACAACTTGCTGAAAGAAGAAAAAGCGAAAGGGCTGAGAGGGGAAAAAGCCTACAGAGTGTGGGCAAGACACAGGCTGGCAGGTTGAGGGGGGCTAGATAAAGGCGAGGGAGTTGCGGTCGTTGCCTTGTTGCGGGCGGCCCCTTGTGGGTGTGGGTGGCCGTTGCGAGTTGAGCTCCTGGTGGCATCCCATACAGCAAAAGAGTGGGGGGGGGAGGGGGAGAGGTGGGAAAGGGAGGAGAGAAGGGGGGAAGAGTTGAGCCTGGCACCTTGTGGGTGTGGGTGGCCGTTGTGAGTTGAGCTCCTGGTGGCATCCCGTACAGAGGGCATGGGGGAGATGGAAGACTTAGGAAAGGGGAGAAAGGAGAGATAGGATGGGGAGAAGGGGGGAGGAGGGGAAGAGGAAGACATGAACAGCATGAGCAGGCACAATCTCAGGCATGGGATGAATGTAGGAAGCATCAAATAGGGCGAAGGGAGGAATCGAGATTGGAAGAGTTAGGAAGGGTATGGAAAGGAGGGAACCCTAGGGGCCAGGGTGGTGGGTGGATATTGTCATGACATACATGCTGTTGGGGTTAACGAAAAAGCGGATGCTAGAAAGACAAACCACTGACCTGCATCCACGTGTCATCCTGGTCATCAGACGAGTTGGCGGGGTTGCCAGTGGGCGGCAGGGGGTGAATCATTTTGGGGAAGACCACTAAATCCCTCCCCAGCACCAGGATGGCGCCTGCGTTGTTGGCCGTGCCTGCTCAAGTGACAGGGAGCAACAGGGAGGAGAGAACACAACAGTTAAGATAATTCTGAAAAGTGATTCCCAAAATGGCAGCGGGTGAATCATTTTGGGGAAGACCACTAAATCCCTCCCCAGCACCAGGATGGCGCCTGCGTTGTTGGCCGTGCCTGCTCAAGTGACAGGGAGCAACAGGGAGGAGAGAACACAACAGTTAAGATAATTCTGAAAAGTGATTCCCAAAATGGCAGCGGGTGGATCATCTTGGGGAAGACTGCTAAATCCCTCCCCAACACCAGGATGGCCCCTGCGTTGTTGGCCGTGCCAGAATAAACTATGCCAGGTGATCGTAGGAGAAGGGAGGGAGGCGGGCCAAGTCAGTGCTTGGTGAGGATGCAATGTTAAAGAACAGGAAATTCACGGAACATCTTAGAGAACAAGGAGACCACAGGACTTGAACAAGAAAGATCAAGAATATTGGTAATGGGCTGTAAGGGAGGCGGCGCCACTGACCGCAGTAGTTGGTGGCGGAGAAGAGAGTGATGAGGTAGTCTTGTGCATGAGAAACAGCCATGTTCTTGTAACCATGGCATGCAACACCACTCACAGCCAACACCACTCACAGCACCACCCCTCACCGCAGCAGCAAGCTATTGCCACTCACCGCAGTAGTTGGTGGCGGAGAAGAGTGTGATGAGGTGCCCCCCTGCGAAGCGCTCAAAGCCGTCCATCACGCACTCGTGTGCTCGAATGATGAGCTGCAGGTCGTTGGTGTGGCAGAACTCCATCACACGGTCGGGCTGTTGGGGGGGGGGAGAGGGAGGGAGAATGGAGAACGGAGGCTTGGGTTTGTGTTGGCGATGGTAATGGTAATGGTAATGGTAATGGTAATGGCGATGGTAATGGTAATGGCGATGGTAATGGTAATGACGATGGTAATGGTAATGACGATGGTAGTGGTAATGACGATGGTAGTGGTAATGACGATGGTAGTGGTAATGGCGATGGTAATGGTAATGGTCTTGGTAATGGTAATGGCGATGGTAATGGTAATGGCGATGGTAATGGTAATGGTAATGGCGATGGTAGTGGTAATGGCGATGGTAATGGTAATGGTAATGGTAATGGTAATGGTAATGGTAATGGTAATGGTAATGGCGATGGTAATGGTAATGGCGATGGTAATGGTAATGACGATGGTAATGGTAATGACGATGGTAGTGGTAATGACGATGGTAGTGGTAATGACGATGGTAGTGGTAATGGCGATGGTAATGGTAATGGTCTTGGTAATGGTAATGGCGATGGTAATGGTAATGGCGATGGTAATGGCGATGGTAATGGCGATGGTAATGGTAATGGTAATGGCGATGGTAGTGGTAATGGCGATGGTAATGGTAATGGCGATGGTAATGGTAATGGTAATGATAATGGCGATGGTAATGGTAATGGTCATGGTCTTGGTAATGGTAATGGCGATGGTAATGGTAATGGTAATGGCGATGGTAATGGTAATGGCGATGGTAATGGTAATGGTAATGGCGATGGTAATGGTAATGGCGATGGTAATGGTAATGGTAATGGTAATGGCGATGGTAATGGTAATGGCGATGGTAATAGTAATGGTAATGGCGATGGCGATGGTAATGGCAATGGTAATGGCGATGGTAATGGTTATGGCGATGGTAATGGCGATGGTAATGGTAATGATAATGGCGATGGTAATGGTAATGACGATGGTAATGGTAATGGTAAGGAGACGGGAGGGGAGAGAGGAGGAGCAGGTGTTGGGAGGAGGTAGGACCAGGCATAGGAAGACATGAGAGGACTAAGGAGAGGAAAGCGTTGGATTGGAGGGGAGGAGTAGAGGAGGGGACGAGTCGAGGAAGAGGGGAGAGCTGAGAAGAGGGCAAGCAAGGAGTGGTGAAGAGGATAAGAGGAGCAAATGAGGAGCGACAAGAATGAGAAAACAGGAGAAGAGGATGAGAAGAGGAGAAGAGAGGAGGAGCCACAGAGAGAGGACAGGAGGAGAAAATGGGAGGAGTAGCGAGGGGGAGAGCAGGGGCAGGGTAGAGCGGCTCACTCCGAAGGTGACGAGGCCAGGTCCTCTGGCGTTGGGTTGCAGGCCCTCTATGCTGTCGTTCTCCGTGGGATCCGACCTGCCAGGCACATGAGAGAGGAATAGTGTGCGTGGGAGGAAATAGCAGAGCAAATAGCAGAGCAGGAGCATGAGCAGCAAGTGTGTAAGTGGGTGGGGGTGAGCATACGCGTGCAGAAGAGCAGCCCCTACCACAGCAGGTCCATGAGCACCATGGACCCCGCCTCCATGGTGACGGGGCGCTGCAGCCAGATGAGCGGCGTACCAGTGACTGGCTCACCAGAGAAGGTCCATTAGAACCATTGACCCCGCCTCCATGGTGATGGGGCGTTTGAGCTCCTCGATCTGGGAGATGTGGGAGATGGAGCGTCCGATGCCCCCGTGCATGCACAGGATCTTGTGCTCTATGAGGGCCGCTAAGGGCAGCCAGTTGAACAGCTGGTTGATGCGGTGCCACGCCCATATGCCACCCTCCTCGCCCTGCAGGGTAGTTTTTGGTGGTGGTAGTGGGTGTGGGTTGGGTTGGTGGGATGAAGGGCGGGTGGGGTCGGGCAGGGGAGTGTGGGATAACGAGATAGCTCAATTGACGGACGAGCCTGGCAAGCAGAGTGCATGAGCGACAGGATCGAATGCAGTCAGCTTGCGATGCTCAATCTTCACATTGCAATGTGCCCTGCATTGCACCAGCCATGCATCAAATACACTGGCATAACTTGCCCCACCCACTGTGCGGTCGATGCACCCACCATGCACTGCCTCTAATTGTGTCATACGCACCATGCGTTCGATGCACTCTATTCGGAAGCCAAAGAGTGCATTGATGTCTGCCGCCTCGTGGTTGCCTCGAATCAGATGCACGTTGCGCGGGTACTCGATCTGGTACGGAGGCGAGGGAGGGGGAAGAATGGGAAGCGTGAGTGAGGAGGAGAAGATGCACGTGCATGAGAATCAAATGCACGTTGCGCGGGTACTCATACTGGGGTGGGTCGGTGGGGGAGGGGGAAGGGGTGGTGGTGGGGGGAGGGATGGGGGAGGAAGAGGGCGGGGTTTGCGGGGGATGTGGCGCACATGATCTTGAGGAAGAAAGAAAGGGGCAGCTTGAGACGAAATGCGGCGCATGAAATTCGAGATTGTTACTAGCAAACGGCGGCTAAAGGAAGCGGCCTACAGAAAAACAGAAACCCAGCCACCCACACGCATGCATGCCATCCACCCCCCATCAATGCCATAAATCCCACGTGCATGCTTGTATCCCTGATGTAGACCAACGCACCAGTGGGTGTTCATTGCATCACCTTGAGTGCGAGCAGCAGGATGATTGTCTCCAGACTGTGCTGCCCCCTGTCCACGTAGTCGCCCAGAAACAGGTAGTCTATGTACCTGGTGGGGGGGTGGGGGGGTGGGGTGGAGATGCAGGAGGAGGCGGATGGGGGAACGGGGGAAGATAAGGGTTGATAGGAATTGAAAAGCAGAAGCACCGAGCTGTGCTGCCCCCTGTCCACGTAGTCGCTCAGAAACAGGTAGTCTATGTACCTGGTGAGGGGGTGGGATGGGGGGAAGGCAGAGCAGGCGCGCAAAGGAGAGGCAGTGAGGGATTGAATAGCAGGGAGCGGAGGCACTGTGCTGCCCCCTGTCCACGTAGTCGCCCAGGAACAGGTAGTCGTTGTACCTGGTAGGGGAGGGGGAAGGGACGCAAAGGCAGGGAGAGCAAGGACATGAGTGCAGTGAGGAAGTGAGGGAGGGAGTGAAGTGCGGAGAGCAGAGGCATGGTGCTGTGCTGGGTGGTTGGCACATCGTCACATCCCTGCATTGCCAGCGACGATGGGAGGGCAGGGCAGCACCATGTTGAGACGGAGGAAAGAGGACAAGGCAGAGGGGGGTCCTGCACTCACGCGATGTCGCCGGCAGTGGAGGGCGAGCCGTACTCATCAAAGAGGCGCATGAGGTCACCAAACTGCCCGTGCAGGTCGCCAAAGATCTTCACCGGCGCTCGCACCTGGCGGGGAGAGGAGGGGCGATAAACAACAAAAAGGGCAACACCACCAGAGGCAGCGCAAGGGCAGTGGGAAATGCAAGGGCGCATGAGGTTGCCAAACTTGCGCCAACGATCTCCACTGGCGCCCGTGCCTGGTGGACGCACGTGGGGAGGTGAGAGAGGCATTAGACGGTAGCATTAGATAGAGCACAAGGGAAGGGATCAACGCAAGGAGCAACACAAGAGGCAAACAGGGAGGGCTCGTTCGTAACTGCAGCACGGAGGGCTCGTTCTTGAAGTGTGTCTCTGCGAGATCACAGAGCTTCACGACAGAGGGTGTGTGCGCTCACTCCCCATGCGCGACTATTTCACCTTCACACCCCCACCTCTCTCAACTGCTCACCTGCAGCACGGAGGGTTCGTTCTTGAAGTGGGTCTCAGCGAGGTCACAGAGCTCCACGACGCCATGCACGTCCAGGAAGAACTGCCGGTTCACCGAGGCTTCCACCCCCGAGGCTTCAACAGCGTTTGCAGCACCTGCCAGTAAGCAAGTCAGGGGACGGACAGGGGAACGGGGAGGCTTTAGAGTCGCCTCGAAACTCACAAGCCCCACAGCTTCTACAGCATTTGCACCCGCTTCCTCCCCTTTCCTCCCCCTTCCCTCCCCCACACCTTCTTATGCACACCCTAAACGGACACCTGGCGCCAGCAACCTCCTGCCAGCCTACTCTACTGCCCCTTCACAAGCCCCACCTTCTTGTGCACGCCCTGGATGGACATCTGCCGGTCCAGCAGGCGGCGGTGGGCCTGCACGCCGTCGGGGCTGTAGCTGATGCGGCGGCCCTCGTTCTCAAAGTGCTCTATGGACAGCTGCCTCACCAAGCCCCCCAAGTTGTTGCCGCCTGGATCCGCTGATACCACCACCTGGGGGGGAGGAAGAGGGAGAGAGGGACAAGGTAGATGAATTGGGGGGAAGGAGAGGACGGGAGGGGAGGGGGAAGGGGAGCGGGAATAGGAGAGGCAGACGTTGACACACCAATGGAAATGAAAACTGCGAGGAAAGAAGTAAAGCTGCATGGATAAGCAGACAGCGGAAAAGGGAGCAGGGTGGGGTGGGGGAAAGGGGGGAAGAGGGAAAGGGTGCATCGAAATGGGGGGCTTGGAAAGGGGGTGGGTTCGGTAGACCGGGTGGGGGAGAAAAGAGAAGGAAACGATAAATCAGCGGGCTAGTGGGGGCGGGCAGCACTCACAGCGCGGTGGTGCAGGCGCACACCGCCCTTGAAGTCGGGAGTGTCACTCCTGCCATCGTCGCTGTGACTGGTGAGGCTGGACGTGCTGGGGTGCAGCCCGTCGCTGCTGCTGTCATCCGCATCGCCCTCCTCGTCTCCTCCTCCTCCTCCTCCTCGTCGCTGCCCCCCGCCCCCCCGCCCCTCCCTGGCACGCCCGCCCTGCCGTTGAAGGACACCCCATCCGCGCCCTCCTCACTGGTAAACAGGTGAGGGGGGCGCCGGGGGGAGCATTGGGGGGGCCGGGGGGAGCATGGGGGCGATCGTCAGCACGAACGTGGGGAGAAACGTGGGGTTGGGGGAGGGAAAGGGGTGGGGGGAGGGGGGGATAGAGAGGAACGTGGGGGCCGGGGGAGGGAAAGGGGCGGGGGGAGTGGGGGTTAGAGAGGGGAGGAATAGGAAGCAGATGAGGAAATGGGAGGCAATTTGCTCCAGCACACACCTGCACCTTTGAAATCCACCTACAACGTGCCTCTCAATCCCAGCCAGCCCCACAACCCCAGCCAGCCCCACAACCCCAGCCAGCCCCACAACCCAAGTCCCAGTGAGCCCCACCCACAACGCACCTGGGGAGGTGGTCGCGAGCATGTGCTGCCCCGCCATCAGCGTCCCTGCCAGCGGGGGACGCAGCAGCAGCGTCCGCGCGCGCCCCCTTGCGGGGGCCACGGGCGGCCTGCGGTTGCCCACGCCCTCCGCCTTGGCAGACGGGGCAGGCAGAGGCGGTGGCTCCGGTGGCGAGTCGTCAGCGATCAGCAGATCGTCCAGCAGGATGCCTGGCGTGTGCAGGAGACGGGGGGAACGAGTGGTGTGGGGAGGGGGGGGAAGATGGGGATATGAGAAGGGGAGGAGAAGCGACCAGACAGGTGTGACAAAAGAGTGAGAAAGAGAGTGGCGACGGTGGCGGGTCGTCAGCGATAAGCAGATTGTCCAGGAGAATGTCTGGCGTGCCTGTGGGGGGAAGGGGCGAGTGGTGTGTTGGGGGGAAGACGGGTCGGGTGGGTCGGGTCGGGAATAGCGAACGGGAAGGGCGGGGTGGAAGGGGAAGAGTGAATGGGAAGGGCGGGTAATGGGAAGGGCGGGGTGGGAGAAAACGAGAGAGCGGAATTGGCAGTGGTGGGACCTGACAAGTCATCGGCGATCGGAAGATAGTCCCGGAGAAGGAGTATGGAGAGTGGAGGGCGGGTGAGTGGTGATGAGTGCGTGAGCAGGGAAGAGAGAGTGAACATGAGGAGGTGCGAGTGAGTGGACGAGGCAGAGAGAGAGAGAGGTAATGGCAGAGGAGGCGAGGTGGCAAAGTCGTTATGGTTTGAGCAGACCATAAACAATGCTCTCCCCCACTCACTCCAGCCCTCCAACATTCCCCCTCTCCCCCCCCCCCCTCAATTCCAGCCCTCCAGCACCACCCCACCACCCCATTCATTTCATTTCCCCTCAACTCACCCCCTCGGAGTCCGCCATAGATGAAGATGGAGTTGCCGACGGCAGCAGCGGCGTGGCGGCAGCGGCGGGTGAGCTCGGTGCTGGCGTCGCCCCCAGGCGCGTCCGCACTGAAGCGCCCCGTCCTCGCCACTGCCACCGTGCCCTTGCGGTCACACCACACCCCCGCTGCCGTGTCCAACACTGCAACACATGGGAGAGGGGCAGGACAGAAGAAGAACGGAAGGTGTATGAGCTAGACCATAGAAGCTGTTAGGTCGTCGCCACTGCTACCGTGCCCTTGCGGTCACACCACACCCCCGCTGCAGTGTCCAACACTGCAGAGGGGGGGGCGCAGAAGAGCGGAGGTGTATGGCGTAGAATGGAAGGTGTTGAGGTCGTCGCCACTGCCACCGTGCCCTTGCGGTCACACCACATGCCCGCTGCAGTGTCCAACACTGCAGAGCGTGGGTGGGCGCAAGAGGGCGGAGGGTAGAAGGTGGGCGTGGGAGAATGGAAGGTGAATGAGCTTAAGGTTAACGGCCACTGAAGCGCCCCGTCCTCGCCACTGCCACCGTGCCCTTGCGGTCACACCACACGCCCGCTGCCGTGTCCAACACTGCAGAGCGTTGGGGATGAGAGGGACAAGGAGAGGCAGGACAGATGAAGACCGAAGGTGTACAAGCCACGCTGGCCACATCCCCTCCCACTTATCCACCACACAAAACGTTGCACAAGAGCGGAGGTGTGCATGAAAGGCCCTGGTGCATTACGTGTGTCACTTGAGTAGACAGCCCTACATACCCCCCATGCGACCGCCTTTTGTGTGCAGGTATAACTACTTCCCGCCCCCCCTACTCACCCGCCACACTGGACGCGTCCTCCACCATGCGCCCGCCCCCCAGGGCTCCACCCGACACGTGCAGGCGCAGATTCACAAACACCTGCTCGTAGAGGGTGGACGGGTTAGGGAAGAGGAGGGAGGGAGGGGGGGGGGTGTTGGAGGGGGGGGGGGAACGGGGGAAAAGAGAAAGAGAGTAAGGCGCATGAGTGGCTCACTGGTGCATTCTGGTTACCAAGACAGAACCACGACAAGCATGCTACCGGTGGCACTCGACCAGAAACTGAACTTTGGGCGGACAGGCGCATGTGCAATGTGAGGGGCTTACAGCGGCATGCTGGTAGCGCGCGGAGGGAGACACGCCAGGGGCGATGGCCCACTCCCACCGCCCATCTCGGTGCCGCGCCAACCCATACGCGCCTGGCAGCGGCTGCGGGGATGCAGGGGGGGAGGGGGGGGGGATAACGAGGGGAGGAAAAACGGGAATTATGGACAAGGTACTTATTGAACGGATAAAAACAAGCACCAGGGAGGAGCACAGGTTGCATCGCAGGGCAAGTCATGGCACAGCACGGTATGGCGTGAGAAAACGTTGCAGCTGGTGCAGCAGGAGCAGGGGCTCACCACGCTGCTGCCATCACGACCACCACAGAGCAGCAGCAGCCCGTCGTGCCTGGAGCTAGCAGTGGCGTACATGCAGGGCGGCGGCCCCTCGCCCTCGGGCTCCAGCTTCTTCCACTCGTACGGCTTTGCTGCCGTGTCCAACGTCCACACGTCCGCCAACGGCCGCTTGCCTGCCAAGGGGGGGGAGGGGGGATAGGGGGGGAGGGAGAGGGGGAGGGGTTGATGCGGAAATGGGGGATGGAGAGGGGGAGTGGGGGGGGAACACATGCACTGGGCTTGAGTGAATGAGCTGAGCGTGGTGTAGCTGGTCTGAGAATGTATCCAGAGTCCAGACAGGTGCAAGGTAGTCAAACGCGAGGAACTGAAAATAGATCTCTCGCTCGCTAGCTCGCTTGCCCGTTCGCTCCCTCGTTTGCTCGCCCACTCGCGCGTTGGCGCTCACCGTCGTTGCCGCTGATGGAGAGCAGGAAGCGCTGCCCCACGAGTGCCATCACGTGGCCGTAGCGAGGCCCTGGCCCCGCGCCCTGCACCACCACTCTGAAAGAGGGACGAGAGAGCAGGGGAGCGGGATGCGGGCGGCGAGGGTCAGGGGCGGTTTACGAAGTCATGAGTTGAGATTGATTGCTGATGCACAATGAACGGGAGATGCGGAGCGGGTGGGAGATGCGGAGCGGGTGGGAGATGCGGAGTGTGGCAGAGTGGTAGCGAGAGAGAGAGGCCGGCGTTGGGCGTTACCTGTGCCATTTGGGGCGCGCTTGCGTGAGGTCGAGCACGTGCAGGTCGTCCGTTGCCAGGCCCGCCGGCCCAATGCCACCCTGCCAACACGCGCTCCGCGAAATTTAGGGAAACAGACTGGCGAAGAAGTCGTACGACGGAAGCGAAAAGCTTCCACTCCTGAACACAATTTGATAGCCTCTCGCGCAAAAGCCCGCGCTGGAAATGAGGGTAAACGGACGCGAAATCAGGAAAGACCGATAGTTCGCGCGGTAATGTCGAGCACTGATGATGAGTGCGCACCTGAATGACGATCATGGTCCCCACTGCCGTCGCCGCGTGAGCTGCCCGAGGAGACGGAGGCTCGCCGACTGGCGACATTCTGAAAGGCGAGACGACACGGGAATGGGTCTGCATGAGGCGCGTAACGCAACGGATGTGTTACACATTACTGACGACGACGACAACGCTCAGTCCGCCATGGGAAATTGAATCGTAATACCACTACCGATTGACCTTACGACAACGCCTGTCTTCCAGTAGAAGAGGAGACCTTCAGAGTGATCAAGACTAAAAGCTTAACATTTGTATGGGTATGGGATTCTTTTCCAGCGTTGTAAGAAGCCAGAATTCACGCACTTGCTCCATGTTCTGGATTTCACGTCGAAGCAGTGAACGTCCGCAGTTGCTCCCGCCAGACCTGTGCGCGATAAAAATGCGAGCTTAAAAAGGTGAGCTTGGAAAGTGGGGTTAAAAAATATGCGACCTGAGAGGCGAACAGATAAAGAGTTTTAAATGCACTAGAGGAAGATGGTGGGTGCTCGACAAGAGATACCGAGAGAACGGAATGCCGTAGTGGCAATGCCAGGTACGACGAAACGGCACGACACGACACGACACGACACGACACGACACGACATCAGATGACCTGACATGGCTAAGAAAGCGATGCATCGAGGTTGCTAGGCGCCGAGCCTTACGAATGCCTGCAGCGCCGCCAGCAGAGGCGCCAGCTCCGCCTTCCAGAGCCGTGGCTCCACCGAAGAGAATCAACCTCGGACCCACGTAGTTGGCGCTCCCTGGCTCGCCCACCGCAGCGACGGCTGTGAGCGTATGACCGCATCTAGGGCCCGGCGACTCGCCATTAAACGGACAAGGAGTATACGTGGGAGCTATTCTTGGCTGCTCGCCATCCGCGTCGACGTCCATGCTTTGCGAGACTTAAATTAGGGGATTAAACAAACTAGAATGAGAGTGCGGGTGAACCTGACGGGTCTGGACGCTCAAACCAAAACACGCAGAAGCAGTCGAAGCCACAGAGGATCGCTCTCAACTCACGTGATAGCTTAGGCGTTACTTCTCCTAGACACTCTGAGCTTGCAACCTCTAGTCGGCGAACAGACAAGCCAGGGTCTTGTCACTTGTTCAAGAAAAGACACCTTTGTCTCACTAGTGAGAGTAGGGCGTGGTGGTTGGGGGAAGAGTGGGCGCTGTTGTGTGTACTGTTTCTGGCATTAGTTGAGAAGGGGCTGGCTGGAGATGAAAGGGAGTCTAGCTGGATAGGGCTGGGCAGGAGAACTGGGTGTGGTGGCTTGTCCTGAGCGCTGCTGCTCTCTGGGACTCCACGGAAAAGGCCGAATTCGTTTGGCATGGGATATGGTGGAGTGAGGTGGTATGGGATGAACTGAGGTGGGGTGAGGTGCTTGATTTTTGTGTGTAACTTTCCCAGCATTCAGGTTCTGGAGGAGAGATACGGCAGAGGCAGACATCGGTAAAAGTTTCCAGACCAAACCGCCAGGTAATGACATCCGAACCGGCGTATCGTGGCTTTCAACAAGGCTGGAAAACCTGTTGCCGCACCTAACAGCTACAAGGGCCTCGGTCTGGGAAACTTGCGGAGGCTTGGTGAGGAACCGAACCCGAACAAGAAGCCAAACAGCCAGGTTTGGCGGCAGGCTAGGGAACTTGTGTACCAAAAGAAAGGACAGGATACTAGCAAGGAATTCAACTCAGAAAAAAGTGTACAAGTTTCTTTAAAACGTACAGGGAGCCTTCGGCAAATAAGGAACAACTCTGCTATGACCAGCCTTGGTGACTTTGACTTTCCTTTTAGGCATCGACACGAATCGTGAACGCCCTCCCCCCGGCAAAAGGCTTTCAAAATCGATGTCGGAACCACTCTCCTTCTCAATGCTATGCTCCATTTCCTTTTGCCACACCCATGCAAACAACTCATCACACCCATCATCCAGCAACCTCCCACCATCAAATTCCCACTCTGCCCCCTCTTCCTCGTCCCCTTCCTTCCCTGCCCACTCATCCTCCTCAACCCAGTCCCCATACAACAAATTCACACCATCCTTCTCCATCCTCCCCCCACCACTCAACCCACCCCTCCCACCCTCCGCTCTCCCCCTCCCTCTACCACCACCCAAACCGCCTCCCATCCCATGCCTGCCATCAGCAAACGAGCCCATACCTTGCCCAGGCATGGCCCCTCCTCTCCCCATCGGCCCACCCCCAGGACCAAACCCCAGAGGAGGAGGCCGGAGAAAAGGCACCGCTCCCACCCCACCCGCACCCATCCCAGCAGCACCGGGGAAACCCGGCCCACCAGCAGGCCCACCACCAGGCCCATAGGGGGGGAAGTCAGGAAGGACGCCTCCCCCAATCCCTCCCCCCAGTGCGCCCATTGGCCCCCCCATGGCGCCCATGGGGGGCATGCCGGGTCCCAAGCGGTGGAACTGGTCGGCGTAGGGGGGAGGTAGCATGGATGGGTCGATGGGGCCACCCCCGTACCTCTGCAGCTCTGCTCATGGAGGAAGGCGCAGGTTGGGGAGAGAAATGCAGGAGGGAGGCATAGGAGAGAGACGGGGAGAAATATTTGAAACAGGTCCAAGTGAAGAAGGTGATGGGAGGGAGAGGAGAGTGGGGAAGAGGAGGGCGGAGGGTGGGGGTTGGCGTAGTGAGGACGGGTTTATGAATGATGTAAAGAGGACAGGGTGGGTCAACAAAGGACCTGAAACCAAACTGCACAACCTGGAACCAGGCATCACCCGTGCCACTCTACTCGTGACTCTAATGGAATGCTTGAGAGAGGCAGAAAGGCGGCAGCAGCAGCGGCGGCGGCGGTGGCAGCAGCAGCAGCAGCAGCAGCAGCAGCAGCAGCAGCAGCAGCAGCAGCAGCAGCAGCAGCAGCAGCAGCAGCAGCAAGGCAGCAGCACGTACCATGAACCCCGTGGGCGAAGTGGCACTTATCACCGAAGGGGCAGGTGCCAGTCATCTCCCACCGGTGGCACATGCGCGTGCGCCAGTTGGGAGGCTTGCCCGTCGCCCCCATGCCCACACTCCCCCCTCCCCCTCCCGCTCCCGCTCCCCCTCCGACTCCTCCGCCTCCCGCCCCCCCTCCCCCACCAGCACTGCCAGCAGCGCCATCAGCAGCAGCAGCTGATGCAGAAGGAGCGTCCCCTGCAGTCCCGGTTCCTCCGCCTGCTGCTTCCCCTGGCGCCCCTCCCTTGGCAGCGCCACCAGCCCCACCAGCACCGTCGCCAGCAGCACCAGACGTTGCCTTGCTGGCAGGCCCTTGTGCCTCTGATGCTTGTGCTGCCTGCTGCTGCTGTTGGTAATGACCAAGTGGGAGGTAATGGAAGGCAATGGGAGGTGAAGAAAGAGAAGATCAGTCAAGGAATCAATGTCATGCCTGGAGATCTGTATGCGCTGCACAGAAAAATGAAAGGAGGGGTTCACAGCTCACCTCCAGCGGTCGACCATCTCTTCTCACTCCATCCACACTCCCTTCCGCACCACCACCCCCTCCCCCCCTCCTCCCCCTCCTCCCCCCTCCTCCCCCTCCTCCCCCTCCTCCCCCTCCTCCCCCTCCTCCCCCTCCTCCCCCTCCTCCGTCACCTCCCCGTGCTGGCCCCCTGCCATCCCCCGCGCCCTTCCGCGAAGCCATATCATCGCCGCCCCAGCTGGGCACGGGCCTGCGCAGCTCCTCCTGCGTGTGGGCGAAGTTGCAGTTGGTCACGTACGGGCACACGCCATTGCGGAACTTCACGCACATCTTTGTGCGGTAGAAGATCCCCCCTCGGACAGGGCCGTTCGCTGGGCCTGAGTGGGGCGCTCTTGGTGGTATACCACCCGCTTCTGTCCCTCCTCCGCCCATCCCAGCGCCCCCTCCGCCTCCGCCGGAACCTGCCCCGGCGCCTCCCCCTGCACCAGCCCCAATTCCGCCGCCCCCACCTCCCCCTCCGCCTCCCGCTCCCCCTCCGCCCATGCCGCCTGGCATTGCCCCTCTTCCTCCCCCTCCGCCTGCCCATCCGCCAGGCCCGTCCATTCCCCCTGGGCCCGGCCCAAATCCCATGTTCATCCCCATTCCGCCCGCTCCGCCCATTCCCATCCCCATGCCTCCGCCCATGTTCCCGCCCATGCCCATGTTCCCCATGCCCCCCATCCCCCCCATACTCCCCATCCCCCACCCCCCTCCGCCTCCCCCTCCCCGCGCGCCACCATCCATGCCAAAACCCAAGCCACCAGCACCCATACCTCCAGGGGCCATACCAGGCCCCGACCCTCCCATACCTCCAGGCCCGGCCATGCCTACCATGCCTCCGGATCCCACCTGCGCGCCGCCTTCCGCCGATCCCTCTCCCTTTCCCCACTTGCGCGACGAATCCCCGCCTCCGCCTCCGGAGCTGGGTCCGCCGTACCCTTGCGGGTACATCGGATCGAACCCATAACCCGGACCTCCCATCCCGCCCGATCCGCCCGCTCCCCCCATACTCCCCATTCCGCCCATGGCCCCCATACCCATCATTCCCATCCCCCCCGCTCCTCCAGATCCCATCCCCGCGTTAGGTCCGCCGATGTCCCTGCCTGTGCCAAACCCACTGTCTCCGCCGCCGCCAACGCCGCCGCCGCCGTAAGGGCCGTCGCGGGGTCGATTTGGTCCGCCGGGCCAGGAACCACCGCCGTCAGGCGCGGACGAAGGGCCCTTTCCGCTACCGTCCATGTCGCGAGACGGAGCGCACTTTTGTGAGACGCGATCGCACGACGCACTAGAATTCGCGCGCACCAGCAAATGAGTTGAAGTTCTATGGTCGGCGAGCGAGCGGGTTCACGCCTGCAGTGGACGTGCTTCTCCGCTGACACTGCTGATTTGGCTGTGTAAGCTTCGACAAGGTAATATGGCTGCGTCGTACGAAATGGAACCTCTGCTCACTCCCCGTACACAATTCACTACACGATAGGCACGAGCGCTACGATGAGAAGGCTGCCTAACTGACGAACGGCGGAGACTCACTAGCAACCAAAGCCAGAGTCCCTTCACGACATGATATCAGCGTCGAAGCCAAAAAATACACGCTTTTGAAACCCCGGCATATTCCAGACTTCGGTCGTCAAGTTGGGAAAATGGGCTAAGTTTGGAGATTACAGTATCGAGAACGTTTTCCGTTCTGTATTTCATAAGGCATAATGCAAGTTGATTTTTGTAACACTACAGCATCGAGGGTTTGGACACGTCAGCCAAGGTGTATCGCTCCACTCCAACCCCAACCGCGCCAGTTTCCGCGCTCGCCCCAGCTGTTTGGCTGGGCTTTCGGCTGGAGAACCAGTCGCATCCTCCCAACTTTCCTTGCTCCTTGCTCCCTTTTGCCAGAGAACCAGTCGCATCCTCCCAACTTTCCTTGCTCCTTGCTCCCTTTTGCCACACAACCATCATAGTGCTGGTAGTTTTCATGCCAGTTGAATTCCGAGCTGATTATTGGAGACGGCGACTTTCCTTCTGTTGGCCTTGCAAGGTAAGGTAATGACAGGTAATGAACTGCAGCTTCTCGCATTGCACAAGATATTGATTGTGGTTGCAGTTTACAACCGAAAGGTCATGCTGGACTATGTGCAAGAAGAGAAGAATTATGTCAAGGAAGACTTTCGCTGTACGACCTTCCAAGTTAATCATCAATACGCTTCATGATGTCGCCTGGTTTCGTCGGCATGCTTTGCGACGAGAATATCCCTCTTAAGCTATATTTGCGACAGCACCAGCGAAATGACATCTACGTCATTGGGATATACCCTCGCTGACGCGTGCGGTATCCAGCACCTCTTCCTGGTATGCTCCTCTTCCTCTACCCCTTTCCCTTCCTTCCTATCACGCTTTTGCATTCGAGCTCCATTTGTTGCTAGTGCTTTGCTTACCTTCTTCCTTCGTGTCCAGGTGCCGTATTGTTCGCCCACGGTTGTTTCTTATGGGAACTTATTACTTTAATGAGCAGTCGCAACATATCATGGAGAGCTACTTTTGTATCGTCCTTGTCTAGGCATGGTGAGGTAAAATATGAAGTCACGCGGACTAGCATTTATCAATCTCGTTTCAGGTAAGAGGACATTTGCTACCCGCACTTATATGTTGCAAATGTGTTTTCTTTTTTGCCCTTGTTTGTTTGCTTACCCTTTCCAAGACGTTTTTTGCAGGCACCACTGTTCTAACATTTAATTTCGAGGAACAGCATTTACTTCATGAATTGAAATTATTCTCTCTGGCCGACATCCCTTCGTCAGGTGACAGTGTGATGATATCCATTTGTGTGGTGACAGTGCTGACAGTGTGACATTGGTGAGACTGTTAGGGAGGACAAATAATTTTCACCCTTGTAGCATGTGCAACAATATTCATGTGCATGCAAGCAACAGTTCAGTGGCTATAATGAACCTGATGTGTCCTTCAAAGCCCCCAAAAGTTGCAGTGCAAGCATCACCCACTAGTCAGATTTCCCCATCCTCCACTTCTTCCTTGCTTCGGTCAGCCTCCATTTCATCTTCACTCTCTTCTCCATCTGATTCATCTCTTAGTGACAGCCCTAAATGCTCTAGCACGTTCATTCCCTGTTGAGGACCTGAGACTCTTGCACCTTCACCACCAAACAGCAATTCGGTGGAGCGGTCAGGACCAATGCTGATGTGCTCAGCAGGAGCACTCAGAAGGTGCATGTCCTTCATGATGGCATGGCTCTCGTCCAACTCCACGGACTTTGCCATCTGCTTGCCATGCAACAAAGCAGTGGACACAGCCCGGAACAACGGATGAATACACTGATGAATATAGAAAGGACATTGGCACAGAAACATAACAGATGACCCTAGTGGGGAGGGAGCATACCCCTTGCAGAGCACGACGCATTGCTTCCCTTTGCTCCTCCAGCCTTTTCCGAGCTTCAAGAGCAGCCTCTGCTTCTTTCCGCCTGCGAGTCTCCTGTGCTGCCCTGGCTTCAGCTTCCAAGCGAGCTCGCTCTGGGTGATGAAGCACAATGATGTTAGTATATCATTACGACGTAAAAGGAAACATGAAGTCCTACTATACAAACCTTCTTTGTGCTTTCTCTCAATCTCTTCCAGCTGCTTTTGATCCACACTTTGAGTCTGCAAGGACAAACAGAACAAGAACATGAGAAAGCACAAGCTAAGACCAACATGAGACAATCAAGCAAGAGTTGTGAGAATATTGACTTACCTCTGTTGCTTTCTTCTGAGCATTCAGAATTATGTCAGCATACTTCCCTCGAAGAAGGGCTGCTTTTACGGCCGCGTCATCGTCACCTGAAAATTTTTGGAAATCAAACATGCGGCATACATAATTGCTCTTGTAACAGATTGAGATATTCACAACAATCTACCACCCAATGCTTTATATACAGAGCCTCCACAAAACACTTGCCTTTGAGAGATGGCTTCACCTCCTTTGGCTTTTCATCTTGCTTCACATCGACCTCCATCTTCGTCCCTTCTCTTGGAGCAGCACTGTCACCTCCTGCATCAAACGCAACAGACCCACTCAACTCCATGGGTGTTGTTCTCAAAGTTCACACAGCTTGGATACCCTGTACATAATGTACAGTTCAGGCACATTGGAACACAAATTGCACTACCCCAGTGCAAGCACTTACCAGCATTGGGAGAGGAGCATTTATCACTGGCCTTTGCAATATCCCTGCTCTGAGTCTGCACAGTCAAACAAGTAAAAACAGATACCGACATCAATATGCTTCTAGTTTGTTTTTACTACATGACCAAGGAACAGAAGGTAATGGAAAAGGTCAGTCACCTTCCCACGGGAAGGCTCAGCGAGTGTTCCCTTGGAGCGCCGATCTTCCTGATCAGACTCGCTGGCGGATGTGCCACTGTCCGAGTCGCTATCTGAGAAGGACAATAGGGGAAAACAATACATGTGAGCGTGGGGAGAGGATATGGTAAGGGATGTACAGAGTGATGTTTGAATAAGTTGGTGGGAAGGGAGGCCAGAGAAGGGAACAGAGCCAAGATGGGATCAGGTCAGGGTTGACAAGCATACCACTGGACGAGCTCTCATCGCTCGAACTGGATGATCCCGAGGTGCCTGAACTGGCTTTCCCTCCCACTCCATTCCCAGCAGGCAGCTTGGCTGTTGCCGAGACTGCAGCAGCGACAGCAGAAGCCCCATGGATAAGGCCAGAACCTTCCTCCACAACGTCAACACTGTCCTCACCTTCTGGGAAGTGAAAGAAAGAGAAACAAGATGTCATCAAACAGCACAATGACAGGACAATAACATGGCACAATGACAGGACAATAAGAGTGCTGCTTTTACACAATTCAGACAGCATTATGGGCAGTGCGGTTTTCAACAGGCAGAAGGTTTTCTTTGTACCTTTGAGCTCCTGTTGTGAAGCAGGAAGAGCGTCAGGAACCTGCACAGGCCAAAAACGGCAGCACAGCCAGATCAGCATGCCAAAATATCTCAATGCGAAACCCGCAGCACAGAGAAGCTAAACATATAGCCCTGAAATTTTAAACCATGCACCACCACACAAACCTTGGACGAAGGCACCGAATGCTTCTGCTGCAGCAGAGCGCGTTTCCGCTTGCTCTTGCTCTTCATGCAGTTGGCGACGTATCTCTCCAGCTCCCACAGCGTCTCATTATCCAGTGAGTCAATGTCAAGCTCGATCTCATCCGCGTTCTGACTCAGATCAGGATTGCGCTCCGATATGATCTGCACGATCCGATCCAGATTCTCCGGAGGAAGCTTCCCCAGGTTTACACTCAGCTTCTGCTTCTCCGCAAACGTCATGTCCCTCAGGGAAGGCTTCCCCTTCGCCTGAACCTGCGCTGCTGCTTGGCCCGTCGCCTTCCCACTGACCTGCATCTGCGACTCTAGCTTCTGCAACCGCTTCTCCAGCTCTTGAACCTCTGGCTTCTCACGGCTGTCGCTAATCTCCCTAGCTGCCTTAGCTCCCTTCACGTCCTCCATCAGCTCTTCGTCTTCCTGCCTGCGTTTCGCAGCATCTTCTTCCACCTTCAGTCTGATTTTCCTGTACCCTTGCTCAAACAGGCCCTTCAGTTCCACCGTCATGATATACACGTCACTGCCTTCCCCGTTATACCGCATAGCGTTCGACCAAACCAGCTGCACGTCGCTGTAAATTTCGTCTGGATGATGGTAACCCGACGCCTTGATTTTCGCGGTAATCGTACCCAGGTCCATCGGATTCTTGATCACCGTGTGGTAATCGTGTAAACCGAGCTTCACCGCATCAACAGGCTCTTTGAACACCCATCCGTACTTATGCGACATCAGTCGTTTCAGCAGTGTCGTATACAGCTTGAAAATGTCGTTCAATCGCTTTGCTCTAGCAGCTTCAATTCTCTGCCGTTTCACATCCAGTTCCGGCGTTGTTGCAGGGACCACCTTCTCCTTGCCTGAAGGCTCCGTTTCCGAAACCTGTATTCGCACTTGGGGCGCAGGAACGAGCGGAGCGGCTACAGCGACAGGCGAGGCGTCCATCGACTCGGATTCCACCGAGTGAGACACAATCGTACCGTTCTCGGAACGCCTCATCCGCTTCCGGCTCTCCGCACCCTTCCCTGACAGCTCCTCGCGTCGTAACACTCCCTCCCTGGCTTCCACTTTCCCACTTAACCCCTGCAGCTGCTCCAGCTCATCTCGGAGCTTTCTCCGCAGGCCTCTCCTTTCGCCACGTGTCCACCCAGCAGGACCGGTGCCTGTGCCTCCATCTCTACTGCTCTCTCTGCTGCCTCTCCTATCCGCTGCCCTGGCTCGATCAACCTCATGACCTCCGCCGTTGGAAACTGGAACCTTCCGTTTGAGTGATTCTTCTGAGAAGCTGGGCTGGGCAGCAACGGGAACTGCTGGGAAATCGGCGGCAGGCGGTGCATCTGGTAAAGTCTTGACAGCGCTAACGCTCCCTGTGGACTTTCTCCTTCGACTATCTAAACTATCTAGCTTCTCAAAACCCTTGCTGTTTACGTCGGTCGCCGGAACTACAGGCTCCAACGCGTATCCCTTGCGTACTCGCCGCTTCATGGCCTCTTCCCTGGTTATGATAACCTCGTTCCGTCTGCGAGGCTCGAGAGCTGATGGCGCCATTGCTCCCTGTTGCAAAGAAAAAAAGGCCATAACTCCACAGTCCTGTTGCAGAGCTTTCTAAGATTGATAGAAAGGAATAGAAAAAGAAAACGTCACGTGATAAGGCTGAAACAGAATTAGGCAGGAAAGACGCACCTTTGCACCTCTTTCCATGCGAGGACAAGCCCACGTGAATCACGGAAAGGAAGTGCCAGACTTCGCAACTGCAATTCATCGTGGGTAACACGAACCAGAGGAGGTCATGGTTTATCACCTGCCATGATGGATATATCAGTTGAAACAAGCTCTCCAAGTTAAACATAGTACCGATGCAGAAGACCATCCTGGCATAATATAGTACCGGCAACGCAAGCTGTGCGACGTCTCCATTTTTTTTGTAATAACAGGTGACTTACATATTGAATCCTTAGGATCCAGACCTTTAAATGCCTATTCTCTTGATTTAATTTGTTTCTTGCTTTGTTCAGCTAAGCCATGTGTTACGACACCAAAAGAATGGTTTATCAGTGCAACATACCTTCCTCCCTTGGAAAACAACAGATCCGACGCAAAATTTATGCAGCTAGCTCCACAGGCAACAAAATGAAAATACCAAAACAGCGGGTTCTAATTCGCTAGATTAAACCGTGTCGGTCTGCGCGTTCTAATCCTCCATGGCTGGCAGGAACCTAGGAGCTAGCGAATAGTGACAGCCAAAAATCGAAACCCTAGCTCCGTGGGTGCTGCGCATGGGTGAGGTGAGGCGAGAAACGAGGGAGAGAGAGAAGCGGGGAGAGGGAGGCTAGCGACGTGTGCTGCAAGCAACCACCAGCCGGCGAAAGTGCAGTTGCTAGAGCTTCTGTCTCAGAATGTTCCAGAAATCACGATAGGTGAGATGTCGATACATTCCGCTAATGCTCAAAATGAAGTCACAAATTTAACATTTAACGAGAAAATACTTCTTATATCATGCAAACACAAAAAATCAATCGAATATGCTGCTTTGAACAATTATAATCATCTAGAATCAAGCCTATGTACCACTGATTAGACCTGTCACAAGGGCGATCTGCAACCAGCTACCAAGTCAAAATTAGTCTTTGATAATTTTGTCAACTGAAAATACGTACTAATTGCAGAGAAGCTTACCCTCCTATTGTGTTGAGTATTATGACACATCCATCTAAACCTTGTCAAGGCGGCACTGCCGCATGTTAATAAAGCCACCAAGAACAGGGAAGAGCTACCAGTTCTGCAAAATACAACACAAAAAGGGTTATCTGTGCAATCACAGGTCCAAAAACAAGCAGTTACAAGCTAGATGCTCCACCAACCTTGTCAGGGGAAGCCTCTGAGCCAGCATCTCTTGACTGGATTTCATCAGAGTCACTGCTCGAAGAATCACTCCCAGAGTCGCTTTCTGTAGGATGTACCAAACACAGGAAAAGGGAGATAAGCATCTGAGAGCAAAGCATGCACAGAAGCTTCAGCTGCAGCACTAAACGAGTGAAATCAAATGTGGTACCAACTAGGCGGGCATCACACACCACTTGAGGAGCTGTCATCACTGGAGCCTGATGAGCCAGACGAGTCAGAGGCAGCCCCTCCGCCTTGTGCTCCATTCCCTGCTGACGCCCTTGATGGTTCCAACTTGGAGGGGCCTGCTGGCTGCGCAGGCAAAGGCCCTTCGTCCCCAATGTCAATGCTGTCTTCGCCTTCTGCAAAGCCATGTGACAGACGCCAACAGAGGATGGTGTGAGCACCTGACATGTTTTTGGCAAGAACTAGCAAGAAAATAAAAACGAGGCAGCAATTTACCTTTAAGGTCTCCCGCTGAGCTTGCTGGAAACGCATCCACGCCCTGACCAGGGTAGCAGGCGGAGCAGAGAAGTAATGTCAAGTCAGGCCGCATATCCAGGTTTGAAGAGGAACGGAAAGGGTCACAATGGAGTGGAACATGAACCAGCAAGCACCACTCAAGCTCCTCACCTTGGGTTGCACAGTATCATAAAGAGGGATCTTCTTCCGCTTGCTCTTGCTCTTCATGCAGTTGGCGACGTATCTCTCCAGCTCCCACAGCGTCTCATTATCCAGCGAGTCAATGTCAAGCTCGATCTCATCCGCGTTCTGACTCAGATCAGGATTGCGCTCCGATATGATCTGCACAATCCTGTCTAGCTTCTCCGGAGGAAGCTTCCCCAGGTTAACACTAAGCTTCTGCTTCTCCGCAAACGTCATGTCCCTCTTCTTCGTATCAGCCGCTCGCGGCTTAGCCTGACCTCCCTTGGCCTTCCCTTGCTGCTGCTGCGCCTTAGTACTCGCCACAAGCTGCGACTCTAACTTCTGTAACCGCTTCTCCAACTCTAGTACTTCCGACTTGTCCCTGGGATCTGGTAGACCCCCTCCCGCTGCCAGCAACTCGTCCTCCTGTCGCCGCTTCACCGCATCCTCGTCCAGCTTCTGCTGAACCTTCTGGTACCCTTGCTCGAACATGTTTTTCAGCTCCGCCGCCATGTGATACACGTCATTGCCTTCCCCATTGTAAGTCATCGCGTTGGACCAGACGAGCAGCACGTCGTTGTGGAGCTCGTCGGGATGCTGGTAACCCGACGCCTTCAATCTCGTGTTGATAGTGCCCAGATCCATAGGATTCTTGATAACCGTGTGGTAATCGTGTAAGCTTGAGCTTCTCCGCGTCTACAGGGACATTGAAAACCCACGAGAACCTGTGCGACATAACTCGCTTAAGCAGCGCCCCGCACATGCGGAAAGCATCCGCCATCCGCTTCGCCCGTGCGGCCTCGACCTTCTGCCTGCGCGGATCTTTCTGCTCTACCCCCTTCCCCCCGCCCTTCTTTTGGCTAGACGATTTCGACTTGCCCTTCTCCGGCGGCGGCAGCTTATCGGCCGCGGACAAGAAGTCGGGATGTATGTACGTTGTATTCGCCTTCGGCGTCCGCTTCTCCTTCCCGCCTGGTGTTCTCTCCCCGCCAGCAGCCCCTCTCTTTCGGTGGTGCTGATGAAGTTGCTGCGCCACTCCCAACGCCAAGGGGCCTCCGCTCTGTGCTGTTTCCCCCAGGCCCCCATCAAGCGGTTGCCCTGCAGACGACAGTTCCGTGGCTCCGCCGTTTTCCGATCTGCGAACCCTCCGGTCCCCTAGCGAGTCACTAAGAATAACCTGCGGCTCCTGCATCAATCTATTCTCACGAGCGTCTACTCTCCGACCTAGAGACAGTACCGTGTTCAAATCCGTCCTAAACTCGCGCCTAAGAGATCTCCTCTCGCTCCTAGAAAGAACCCCACGAACGGCTTCCGAAACTCTCCCTGGGTCGTCACGGTGAATGATTTCCGTCAAAGCCTTGCGCTTCCGACCAATCTCATTCGGACCCGTGCAGTCGCCATCCATCTTGGAAACGCCGGACTCCTCTCGTTTTCCGCCGTTCGCCGCGGAGATCTTTCGCTTCTTGTCGTCCGATTCGTACATGATCTCGCCGTCGATCTCGAAGACGTCAGGATCCAACGGGACTGCTTCGTACGCGTGACCGTTTGGTAGCCGCCTCTTCTTAGCGCGGTCTCCCTGTGAAAAAACGTGGTCGTCTTTTCGATGCGGGTTGACGGCGGCTGGTGTCATCTTCTCTGTAACACATGCCAACAAACACAAACGCCGATGATGAAGATCATGAAACGAAAAAACAACAAAGAAAAACAAAAACGAAGACACGGAAAAACAGGAAATATAACATCGAGGTAAACGTACATGTTAAAGCCAAGCTTGCTTCCTTAACAGGAAGAACCAACTTGTGCTCTTGAAGTCATCGATCTGAACCCGCGTGGTGCCGTGAGAAGCCACGGCCCAGTAACTGAGCAAAACGGCAGTCTTCAAGTGACCATATAACACAGAGTAAGAATCCACGTGTTTCTGAAGCAGACGCGTCCCACGAGCTTCCGGAGCAGGTGAGTCTTGGTGCGATGCCAGGTTGACGTAGATCCAATCGAGCAGCTGTCTCTTGGACGGAGCAACTGGAGACTTGGTGCTGGGAGAGCAGACTTGCAGAAACCAGCAGCTGGCTGGGAATAACGGCGGAGGGAAAATCCGAGGTTGCTGTGGTTTGAAATGGAGAGGAAATGGTGAGTTGAAATACCAAACCCTAGGCGTCAAGCCGCTCCTTCTGATGGAGATTACAGCGAGTAGGCGCCGTAAGCCTCGATATGAAAGCTGCACAGCGTGAAACTTCATAGAAACAGTGTTTCGCAGTGTTTATAGCGACAGCACTATAACTGCAAAACTGAGTTTTGAGAGAACAGCAAATATTTGGTGGAATAATTCATCAAAAACCATGGCTAGAAAATGCTCCTACCAAAACATCAAGGCATCTTTTATGAACGTGTTAACTATACAACATAATGATGCAAATCCCTACCAGTTATTACAACAAACAATATATTTTGCAATACCATTTACCGGCAATAAGATGCTAGATGCGGTTATCAATAGATGTTTCTACCAGTCAGTCACACCTACACATGAAGCCACTTGGCGCTGTATTCTTGCAATTTGGGTTATCCCAGGCAGAGATCCCATTACCATGGGAGGCATTGACTCGTGCAGACCACCAGTCCCATAGACATGAAGGGAGGTTGGAAACAAGGCACCAGGGTTAGGGGAAGTTATGTTAACGTTGTCCATAACTATGTCAGTGCAGGGAACAGTTTGGCTGCACCTGAAGATGATCCCTTCAGGACCAAACGTCGTGCCCTGGATGTTAGAGTATGTTACATTAGAAATGGCAACATTGCTGGTCTTGATGTCGCCGTAACAGTAAAGGCTGCCTCCACAATAGAACTGCTTGGGAGGCAAGCAGGTGAACGCAGATGGGCAGGACAAGACGAGTGGGAGAGAGGGCACAGAGCAGGAGGAAAAGACAAAGCGGGTGAGGGTACAGGAAGAGCTTTCAGCATGAAGGTGAGAGAGAAGAGAGCGGAGGGTTAGAAGGAATGACCTGGCAAAGTTGATGAAGCGATAAATCTCGTAGACTGCACATAACAAGCTTCAGAGACTGCACGTACCGCACAACTGACCTGATCAAGAACGATCGGATACCGCTCGTTCTCCATGCTGATGACGTCGTACACAATGTTGACTTTGAGGCTCCTCAAAAGTATTCGCAGACTGCACAGGCTGCACAGGCTGCAGAACCCACCTGGTCGAGAACGATCGGATAGCGCACGTTCTCCATGGTGATGCCATCGTACACAATGTTGGTGGCCTTCCCTGATCCACCCTGGAAGGTCTTGATGCGCAGGCCGATCTTGGTGTTGATGAATCGCACGTCTGTCACTGATATGTCAGACACGCAGGAGACAGGATACACGGTGCCACTCCCGAGCGCACCGATGCTGGCGCGATTTGAAGAATGGGAGAGGGAAGAGGGAAGAGGGAATGGGGAAGGAGAAAAGCGGAAAAGGTGAGGGGAAGAAAGGTGCTGTGATTTCGTACAAGCATCGAGGATGCACGAGAGCAGGCTCTTTGCCATGCGTTGCACAATGTCCATGGCGGGTAACATTTCCCTTTGTCACCCCACTTACGAGATGCCATGGCCTGTGAGGCATGTGACATTTGATATAGTCACGCCGACAGCGCCATCCCACATGGAAACATTGTCATCCCCCCCGGCGAGCGTGCACCGTCGGATGTCGATGTTGAAGGAGGAGGAGATGTGGATGCCGTCTGTGTTGATGCTCTCTGCCGGTGAGTCCGTGCGGAAATCAAAGATGCGCATGTTGGCACACCGGAACACTTGCACGTGGAAGAACGCCGCGTTCCTGAAGAGTGGGGGAGAAGGGGAAGGGGAGGAAAAATGGCACAGAATAATTGGGATCCAGGATACGTGTGCTGTAAGAGTCGCCTTGTTACAACGTCGCTCACAACTTGTGATGTCCTGCATGCTGGACTGCGAGTGATGCCACTTAGCACGGTCTGGTAGCACCAGAAGGTCCAGACTCATGAATCGGCTCAACGTTTGTGCACACTTACCTAACCGTGATGCCACTAAGAACCGTCTGGTTGCATCGAAAGAAATAAAGCAGCATGGGCCGATCGCCCCTCCCCTCCTGCTTCCAAAACAGCTGCCCCCGCCCATCCACCACGCCGCTCCCATACACCTTCAGCCCCGTGATCCCCTTAAAGTAGAAGATGGTGAACGGGCCATTCTTGGGGACGGTGTAGAGCTTGGGGTTCTGAGGCACGGTGATGTTCCCATCCACCTGCACGTTCACGCCTGCAGGCCCGCAGGGGCCAAGGAAGGAAACTCCCATGATGTGAAAGGTGTATTTACCCGGAATCAGCACCGTCGGCACAACCTGGTCTGTATCCCCTCCTCCTCCTCCTGCTGCTCCTCCTACTCCGGTTGCTGTGCTGCTGTTGATGGAAGCAGCACAAGCGGCAGTGAACGCCGCTTCTAGTGCCTTGCCGTCGTTGCTCTTCCCGTCCCCCTTGGCCCCAAAGCTCCTGACGTCATACACGCCACCAGTGCCAGGTGGCACCGGCCTACTGGGCGACGGCACGCTCGGAGGTAGCTCGTACCATTCCCCTTCCCCTTCACCTTCCCCTTCCCCATTCGCCTCTTCCTCCCCACCCCCCCCTGGAGCAACCCCTCCTCCCCCCTTAGGCGGAGATTTGGAAGGCGGCGGCGATTTGGGAGGGGGTGGGGATTTGGGAGGGGGCGGAGACTTGGGAGGGGGGGGGGATTTGGGAGGGGGTTGGGAGTTGGGAGGGGGTGAAGACTTGGGAGGGGGCGGGGATTTAGGAGGGGGTGGGGATTTAGGAGGGGGCAAGGATTTGGGAGGGGGAGATAATTTGGGAAGGGACGGGGATTTGGGAGGGGGAGGGGATTTGGGAGGGGGAGGGGATTTGGGAGGGGGAGGGGATTTGGGAGGGGGAGGGGATTTGGGAGGCGACTGGGTCTTGTTCAAGGGTGGAGATGGCGAGAGGGTGGGGGGAGGAGGGGATGTCTGGGGCTTAGGCGGGGGAAGGGATGGTGGAGCACTGGGGGGAGGAGGGCTCTTAGGCGGTTTGATGTTCGGAGAAGGCTTGGAAGGAGGTGGGCTGGAGGGTGTGGGAGATTTGTGGGGCTTGGTCGAGGGTGACGGGGAGGGCGGGGAGGGGGGGTCAGGCGGAGCGTCAGCGACAGCAGCGGGCGGGGATGGCGTACTGGCGGAAGACTTGGGGGGAGACTTGGGGGACTTCGACGCCGGGGGAGGCTTCGGGGATTTCCGCGGCTTCGGCGACTTGACCGGCTTATGCGGGCTCTTGGAAGGCTTAGGCGGAGATTTGAGCGGTTTCGGCGGGCTGCTGGTAACATCCGGCACGCTGGTGCCATTCCCCCCGCCGCTGACCCCTGCACCACTGCCGGCATCCCCATCGCCCCCATCCTTTGACCCTGCATCCGTGTCGTTGGTTCCTTGCTTCGCAGGGGAAGCAGGAGCAGGAGGAAGAGGAGGAGGAAGTATCGGAACGGTAGGTTTGGGTGCGGCCGGCCGTGGAGGTTCTTTGGCGGGGGACTTGGTCGTTTTGAGCGTGCTCGCGGAGGTGGTGAGGAGAGGAAGAGACGACGAGGCGGAGGCGGGGGCCTCAGTCGCAGCAGAGCTAGGGACGGAATGACTGGGCGTCTGAACCACGCGAGGGCTGGCGTGAATCAGCGGTAATCGGCGGCGGACGAACGCGAACGAGGCACGAGCCAGCTGAGTCAGTGCACGGGCGAGGCGTTCCGAGCCGTTCATGGTCGTTGGCTGTATTACCTTCTGACGTTGCTTGCCTGCTTCGTTCGCTTCCTCCGCTCTTCTTGTCACAGCGACGAGTGAAAGTAGAGATTCTGGTCTGAAGAAAATGGTTCCATTTTGGGCTCGGTCCTGCTCCACGCCGTGGACCCTTTTCAGTAACGAGCCTTCTTCGCAAGAAAGACTATCCGATCCCAGTGCGTCGGTACGTGCAGGTGATGAGGCATTTGCCGACGACACACAAATAATTTGAGAGGACGAGAGGAGGGTGAGCACGGCGAGTGCAGTGACTACTACGCTGGAGAAACGAAGCGCTTGACGTGCCATCACGAGACAGACTGTCATGCATCCAAGGTTGAAAAGGAGAGCGGGTGATACATCTGAGGCTCTGGGGATTTTAGCGAAGGTCGACTCCGGCGCGGAAAGATCTATGCAGGAATTGCGATCAATGAAATGCGATGATTCATGACGATAGTGCATATTACCGAGAGAGCCATGGCGCTGGACTATAGGCCGGTCAAGGACTCTGCCGTTTTCCGGTACTCGGCTGCTCGGATACAAATACCATCGCGGAATTGCTAACGAGAGAAGTTATTGGACTGCTCCTCGATCAATATCTTGTTATTAGATACTGGAAAGGGGACAAAAAAAACGGTGCGATCGGAAGCAGAGTGCCGGGGCTGAGCGAGGGCTATGAAGCTGCCAACGCGAGTGAGTTCAGTCTAACGTAGATATATCAGAGGTTCAAGCTTCCAGTCACACCCGGATGCGAGGTGACATTCGACGCGGAATCTACCGACATATTCAGGAAGGTGTACTTGCAAGGACGCTGGGAACATCTGGACCGGAAATGTATCAGGACAAGAAGATATGAGAAAGGCAGTTTCGCTTCGCGCAAGCTCACAACTGAGAGATGAGTGCTCAATGGGAAGAAGCAAAAAGGCGCGAGGAACACGGCAGGAAAAAAAAAATGTTTGAAATACTGACGGCTGAGTTGTACTCGAGGATCTATCAGGGCGCCCGGCGCCAACGGTAGCGTAGCGTCGATAAGGTAAAACCGACGGGCGCGCTTGCTTGATGGGCCCCCTTCCTGCGCTCCTGGATTTCGTTGGTGCACACGGGGAATGGCCCTGCCTGGATTTGGTTTCCTGGGAATGGCTCGTTTCGTGGCCGGCTGAACTGAACAGAATTTTGCGTCGCATGGTCTTCGTCGATCTGACGAATTGTGTTTCCCCTCTTATGTGTTTCGCCGCATCGCACATCTCAACAAAGCACGGGATTTCACGGGCTGTTTTGTGGAGAAATGAGCCAATCAAGTACAGGAATACTTCTGCCCGTGTGAATTTGGGACATGCGGGTCAGGTGGTTAAATCAACATGCGACACGGTTTGTGATTTTTGGGCGGAGTGGCGCCAGAACCCCCTCGGGCTTGCTTTTCACCACCCGTTTGTCGTCAGCAAGCAGCCAACGGACGGAAAAGCAGTCAGCAGCCGTAAAAGGAACGGAAATTGTCATTCTTGCAGATGAATTTGTGCTTCTATGAAAAGCCCCGTTGATGTGATTGAACAGTTCTCCGCCTCACACGCAAATTACTCTCCTGCTTCACGCAATTCTTTCACACTGCACAAGCCCGTTTCGGCCTAAAAGATGAGCTGGATTCGGCCTACCTTAGCTAGGTAATGACCTAACATTTCATGCATCCAGGAGCTAGATGCTGTACTAATTCTAAGTAAACGAGACTGTAAGAAAGGGGAGACTTCAATGTGGCGCTAAAGCTGCATTGGTGGATTTGATCTTCCAGATAGCCTCCCGTTGTCCACACGAGCTCAGGCGCAGGCTAGACGAAAATGGCTCATAAAGCGGACGACGAATATGATTACTTATTCAAAGTCGTCCTAATAGGAGACTCTGGAGTGGGGAAGTCTAATCTGCTCTCTAGGTTCACCCGCAATGAGTTTTGCCTGGAGTCGAAATCGACTATTGGAGTTGAGTTTGCAACTCGAAGCATTCAGGTACGCCGAAGTTTTTGCAACATTGTTCTACATAGCGTTGTCAATAGCATGCTTCTAATAGGTTTGTCCTCACAGGTTGATGGGAAGACAATCAAGGCGCAGATCTGGGATACGGCAGGTCAAGAAAGATATCGCGCAATCACAAGCGCTTATTACAGAGGAGCTGTTGGTTGCCTGCTTGTCTATGACATCACGAAACCTGTGACGTACGAGAACGTTGAGAGATGGCTGAAGGAATTAAGAGACCATGCAGACGCAAACATTGTGATTACCCTTGTTGGCAACAAGTCTGACCTAAGGCACCTCAGAGCGGTTGCTACAGAAGACGGGCAGTCTTTTGCAGGTTAGTTTGCTGTTCTTTCTCTTATTCCTGGTGCAGCAGCGTTTAGCGCCTGTGGGAAGTGCTGACTTTACAAACGCTTGTTGCAGAGAAAGAAGGCCTCTCTTTCATAGAGACATCTGCATTGGAGTCAACAAATGTGGAAAACGCGTTTCATAAAATTTTGACTGAAATATACCGCATTGTGAGCAAGAAGGCCCTCGGTCAAGAAGACTCTGGCCCTGCTGGGCCTGGAGAGGGCACGACGATCGTTGTTGGGGATGGAAATGCAGCCAAGTCTGGGTGCTGTGGTTAATTCATGCATGGATGGCTTACAGTGTACGATACTGCTTTGCAAAGCACAATGGAAGTTACAGTATTGAAAGAAAACCACAAATTCCATTGATTTTCCATTCAAAGTTTACCAGACAGCACTCTACTGGCCAGCACTCTTGTGTCTGGAAAGCGGTCGAAGCCATGTAGGACTGACAATGTGCCCCCGTGTTCATTGAGCAGCTTCTTATGGTCACCAATGATGTATTTATCATCTGGGCCGAACCGATGAAGGACACTTGCACGCTCCATGTCTTGCACCTTGATCTGTGGCATGCTCTTCAGCATCCCTGCAGCACCAAAGGGTCCAGCCATCATTAGCTACAATCATGTGAAACGAATAAGTGGTTGTCAGGCATGTGGTTCATGAGGAGCTTACCTGCTCTTACTAGCTGGTTGATGACTGCTTGATCACTCTTTTCCCACCGCACACACACTTTTGGACCCTGCTGGAAAATTGCCACGATCAGTGTCAGTAACTGCCGCATGTGCGAGGCTGGGCCATAAATGAAGCCAGGGTTGATAACACGCATTCCTCCAAGTGAGAAAGCCTCCTTTCGTGAAAAGCAGGACAATAATTGCTTGTGTTGCAGTGATAATGCCTTAGTCCCATGCCGCGGGTATTGCGAAGCTTCCTGCATTGGATAAAAGTGCAATAGGTGCAAGAGAGTATGATGTCAACCGAGCGAAATCTACTTCATGCAAGGGCGACATCCTAAAAGAGTAAAAACTTACTGTGATAAAGCGCAAAAACACGTCCTTTGCCTCCTTGGCAGGAAATGGGTCGCGAAGGAAGAGAATATCATGAGCATCGGAAAGAGCCACATTCCCTTCAAATGAAGATCCAAATTCATGCAGGAACTTCTTGAACACCAGATACCGGATGTTGGTGGCAGGGGCATGACTCCAATTTCCTGAAGAGAACGGATTGCAAGGAATTGATTGCAAGCTAGAAAAAAAAACTAAACCTGACTGAAACCATGCTTGCCAACGTCAGCATCATGATACAATGCATGAAAGAATCTCCCTCACCTGCTCGGGGTGCTTCATACTGTTGCATATAAATTCCTCTTCTCTGCTCAGCAGTCATTGGCCACCACCATAGAGGCACGCGATCAAAGAACAGAATCAGCCATGCCCGCCCCCCATGCTCCACAAACCGTTGAAACGACTGGAGCAGCACTGTCAGGTTTTTGGAGGCTTCCCCTGTGGCTAGAGTTAGAATGATGTTGTCAGGCCAGGTCTTGGGAGGAGTGGGCGTGATGGGCTTAAATTTGAGGAGATAATCATTCGGATTTGGAGGAGGCCGTGGAGGCTTCTTTGGCGGGGGCTTAGGTTGGGGAGGCGGGGATGCAAGGACCACAGGTTTGGCCCTGGCTACTGCTTGGGAATTGCTCGAAGGGGAATGGCATGGGGGAAAAGAAACGGGGTGGATATTAGCTTAAGCACGGGAAAGAAATAGACAGTGAGGAGAGGGTGGAGAGAAGGGGGATAGGAAGGGGCTAGAGTGGAGGAAGGTGGAACAAGAGGAGGAGACGAGGATGAGATTGCGAAGGGAGAGAAGCACGTCAAGTCTCTGGCAAGGACTGACTCACTGATGCTCACGCGATCCAAGTAACGCACATTGGTTCTACTTTTCCATGGTTCCATTCTCCATCGGGTAGGAAATGCAAACTGTCCAACAGAGTGCCTGCCCTTGTTGAGAGAATGTTTCTGAATTCGGAATCTTTATTCTTCATGCACAAAGGCTCACCTTCCTCTTCGCTTGCTTCAGGAAAATCCTTGACAGCATCAGATTCCTCGTCTGCAGCTGAAACACCTTCCGAAGCCGCGACATCTGCTGCCAATCCCGTCAATTTGTCATCTTCATTCTCCGTTCCATCTCCTTGACTTCCTTGTTGACCGCTCGCATCTTGTCCGCCATTCTCCTGATCAGGTGTCGCAAGCTTGCCCTTCTCAAGAGTTTTCCCTCGTCCGCGAGGTGTCGTCCTCCGCGCGGACAAAGCGACGAAATCGTCCGCAATGTCGCTCGCATCTTGCTCCTCCGTCTCACCCCCTGAAGTATCCTTAATCTCCTTGGTCTCCTTGCTCTTCCTTCTGCTCGCTGGTTCCTCTTTCAATCCAGCATCAGAAACTGACAAATGTCGAGATCCCGGAAACTTCTCGTCTGATTCAACAGAGGAGGAGCTCTTGATGCTCATCAGCCGTTGATTCGCATCGGGAATGACGATCAGAGCCGTGAAAAGCAGCCCGAGAACATACACAGTAATAAGGCGCAACGGTCTTCGTTTGGATTCCGGAGCCGTCACACGGACGCTTAGACTGAGGTTTCTTAAATCTCGAGTAGAGGTTCTCTTCCGTCCGCTTAACGTGCGTTGAAGCCATCTAACGGTCGCCGCTGCGGTCCTCATACCGATGCCAGCTCCTCTTTACATGCATCAACTTGGTAAACAGGAACGCTCTATATCGAAGGCAATCGGCATTCCGGAGACATTCTCTGAAGAGCAGAATCGCTCTGGTATGAAAAAAATGCTGCTCGCCTAGCCTGCATCAACGGCCGCGATTAACAAAACGGCAGATCAAGGAGCGCAAGCTCTTCTGCCGTTAGCATTTCTGCCCTAGAACTTAGAGTGTGCCATTCTGCACTGGAAACCGACTTGTAAGTCACGCCCGCAACGAGTCCTTATCTCATCCTTCCCCAGTCCAGACCCGAACGAGCACAAACCACTGTCGTGAAGATAAATGGGCTCATATTCTGTCGGACTACGCGACCACAAATACCGCTGTTTCTGAGACATTACCGCTTTGAACTGTCGGAAATCTGGTTCTAACCGCGCTCAAAACTTGATTCTGGCGGATGAGTTGCCAGACAGGGCTGGCTCTTGAGGAAAGCCCAGAGAGCTGCGGAGGATGTTTTCCGCCCGCAGCAGCGGTGGGAACACCAAAGTGGGGAAGGCGCAACCAGGATTCCACTGTTATTGTAGTCCCCGCTAGCAGAAATTCGCAAATAACAGTGAAACCTTAGGATGTGAGCATTTGCTACTTCCTGACAGTCCTTGCCATCCAGCTTGTACGTGGGGGATTTTGCCTAGCTCATGTATGGCTGGTTGTGTATGTGCATGCCTGCTGCATGCACCATATGGGTGGGTCTCCTGCACTTCCACTTTCTCACCATTGCCACCTGTGTGCCTCTCATCTCGACCTCACTCTCACTCGGCTCAGCACCGCGAACCATTGCCCAGCCTGTAGCAGCCAAGTCATCATGGCACGGCACGGCACAGCACCTGCAGGACACTTTGTCCTGCTTAGGGGTTTGTGCCCACTCTGTCCTCCTCATACCACGGCATGAGCCAGGGAATCATGGCACAGCACAGCACCTGCAGGAGGACGCTCAGCCCTGCTTGAGTGCTTGTTTGTGCCCAGCCGCTTTCCAGGTTGCGCAACCCACCCACCTACTCTACAGCATGCAGGCCCATCCCAGCACAGCACAGTGAAACACAGAGATAAGCACGCCTAAGCAGACCTAAGCAACGATATGCACACCTAACAACACCTAAGCAAAGCTAAGGACAGATGAGCAAGCAGGGGTAAGCACAGAAGCGGCGCATCTTGAGTTGTTGGCGGCCCACCAGCATGCAGCAGTGGGGCAGTCCTCTCCTCTACCTCGCCCTGCAACATCATCACACAAGGGCCAGCCAGTGGGACAACAATGCCACAAGGAAGAAAGGGGAGGACAGAGATTACGGAGAAGGAAAACATAGTTGTGTATTATGGTAGCGTGAGACAGCCTTCGTGAAGACTAAGTGAGAATGCACGTTTGCAAGGGCAGCAACACCCCCTGCAGAATCAAGCGGCCCATTTACCATGAAGATATATGCAGCACTGCTGTTGCTGCCACCGCTGTTGCTGCCACTGCTTTTCCCACAGTTGTTGGCAGGGGCATGAATGGGACATGGAGAGGGGAGGGAGACCAGAGCACCACAATAATAGGACACAGAAAAAAGGGAGGACGAGCAACATGAGAAAGAAGAGGGGAAGACGAGCAACACGAGGATTCAATGAGACGATTAAGGCAACAAGGCAAACATTAATGAACCAATCACTGAGAACACTTGAGGGACCTGGGAAGCACTAGGGTAAGCTGTAATCACCATCTAATTGCTGTAGCTGCAACCACTGGAGTGGTCGTTGGTGCTACCACTGCAGCTGCTGCTGCTGCTGCCACCACTGGTGCCACCACTGGTGCCTGTGCTGCTGGTGCTGGATATAAGGGCATGTCCTTATGGAGAGCAGAGAAGAGAACAAGATGAGGATAGAAAAGGAGGAGTTTGAGAAATGAGCGGAGAGACAAGAAACAGCACTTGGTACACTCTCGCTGCTGAGACAAGAAGCAATGCATTGTGCATTCGCGCTACTGCGGCATCGTTACCTAAAGTGTTGGAAGAGAAAGCAGCTTGCTGTTGGAAGAGAAGGCAGCTTGTTACACCAACTTCCCTTCACGTGTGCTGCTCCAGGCAGCTCTGTTGCTCCGTTTATCCGGCTGCCCATGCTCGCAGGCAGTGAGGCACACACATGCATGGGGAGAGAGACACGCACACAGAAGCGGCACCAACAAGGGAGGGTTAGAAACGGCAGGAGGGGAGTGGCGGACGCAAAAGCAAGGGACACGACTTTTGCCTCTGTGCGGCGACGCTCTACGACTCACTACTCTCCCCCCTGCAAGCACCCCCTGGCGCGTACCACACTGTGTCCGCTGCTCTGCCACTCCTGCACCACGCCTTCCCTTCACGCCTGCTGCTCCAAGTTGCTCCAGCTTGCTCCGTTGCTCCGGCTGCCCATGCTCGCAGGCCGTGAGGCACACACACACACGTATGGGGAGAGAGAGAGAGAGACGCACACAGAAGCGGCACAAACAAGGGAGGGTTAGAAACAGCAGGAGGCGAGTGGCGGAGGTAAATGCAAGAGACACGACTCTTGCCTCTGCGCGGCGACGCTCTACGACCCACTACACTCCCCCCTGCAAGCACCCCCTGGCGCGTACCACACTGTGTCCGCTGCTCTGCCACTCCTGCACCACGCCTTCCCTTCACGCCTGCTGCTCCAAGTTGCTCCAGGTTGCTCCGTTGCTCCGGCTGCCCATGCTCGCAGGCCGTGAGGCACACACACACACACGCACGTGGGGAGAGACACGCACACAGAAGCGGCACCAACAAACAAGGGAGGGTTAGAAACAGCAGGAGAGGAGTGACGGAGACAAAAGCAATAGACTCGACTCTCGCCTCTGCGCGGCGACGCTCTACGACTCACTACACTCCCCCCTGCAAGCACCCCCTGGCGCGTACCACGCATGCTCCTTGCGCTGCTCTGCGGCTCTCCTGTGCCTCGCCTTCCAACGACGCAGGCCTGGTCCGACCGTCCAAATCCCGTACGTCCGAGATAATTGTCCGAGATGGTCGCCCGAGTCAATCGCACACATGCTGAAGGGAGAACGAGGAGGACAGGGGAGAGGGACGGTACACGCGTTAGTGGAAGGGTAATTCCAAGCATGACGCAAACGGGGAAAGCGACGAGACTCAATAGGCGTTCTTATTCTAGACACTTACAGGAATCCTCCCCCACAGACTTAAGTACCGTTAATCGCCTGCGATCTCCAGAGGAACGGCTGCGTACTCCAAACGACGCGTGGCGATTCTTCAAGTGTTTGGCGCAACCTTAGCCGGACGCTACAGCGACAGAGAAGACCCGAATCTCGCGCCTCCGAGTTAATCGCACACATGCGGAGGGGAGAAAACGAGGAGGACAGGAGGAGAGGTACGGTATCCGCGTTAGTGGAAGGGAGAACACCTGCAAACGAGGCGAGCGACGAGACTCTCTAGGCGTTCCTATTCTAGACGCCTGCAAGAATCCCCCCCTAACAGCCTTCGCTATCACGTACCGTTGATCGCGTGCGAGATCCCAGGGAACACCGAAGAAGTCGATGCGACCGCATGCGATCGGCATGGTGTAATCTCCGGCGAGGAAGTCGATGGGCCCAGAGCAATCTCCTGCGACCTGCGTCACGCTGCTCCTGACGGCCACGTCATGTGGACCGTTTTGACGCATCGACACGTGATTTGCGACGTCTCACAGTTGACGCGTCGAAACGTCCTCCTGCGACGACCTGCGTCTCGCACCTCCTGACGGCCAGAAATCGCACACAATAAAAAGCGCTGCTTGCGATGGCGGTCGGCGAACACTTATTCTGCCGTTTGCGAAAAGCTGCTAACGCTGCTTGCCGCTGCTTATGCGTATTTCGACGCTGATGCTGCTCCAACCGTTGCCTCGGACTCACGGAGGTTGAGAAACGTTTGTTTCCGACAGGCAGTTTCGACGGTGGAGCAAATACTCCGCCACTAGGACTGGACTGGAAGATGCTGCACTCACTCGGAGCTAACCCAAGACCGGCCGAAACAACCGCATCCGTCGCACGAGCCTCTCATGATTCAGGACACCATCTACGTGTCGTCTTGTCCCCGCGTCATTTCACTCTGGAGTTTCGCACGTCGCTACAGGGCAAGCAGAGACGGCCGGGAACCTGCAATTTGCTGTGTGAGATGCTGTTGTCGCGAAACTTTTCGCTAGGCGTTGCGACTGCCGTATTTCACGGCAACTGCCGTATTTCAGCTCGCGACGGTGCATCAGGGAGAAATGATTCTCATATTGAACGCTGAGCCTAGCTGTATCTAGAAGCACCAGTTAGGTTGTTTCTTCTGCGAGTCACCCCTCGCTAAATGAAAACGAAGACGACAAATATGCCCTTTGCTCAAGGAGCTTAAGGCATGACATTGTCGCTAATCTGATCAATGCGAAAGCTGAGCCGCGGACAAGGAACAGGTCGAACCAGTAACAGATAGTACCTCGATTGCTATTCAATTGTCACTCGTCAGTCTAATCAGCTAGAGCCGTAGCCGTACTGTTACAGAAGCTAACTAACTACTCAGGCAACTAATCTTCTTCGGAGAGCTAGCAGGAGCAGTGACTAGCATTGTGAGCAACGAGCAGAGAAGAGAGGAAAGCCTTGGGAATGCCGTGGGGGTTCCGCCGCTGAGGAAAGCAAAGCTGCACAGTCATCTCGTGTGACGGCGAGGGAATGACAAACCCCATGGGGGTGAGCTGAGAGTTTTGGGCTCGGCTCGCTGACCCGCGGTTCGTGGGGTGGAGGCTTTCTGACATGCTCGTGGGTTGATTGGACGGAAGTTGCGCGCCAAAAGATCCCCATTTTGAAGGCTTTCGCCGGATTCTCGCTGTAACGTGGCTCTGTACGGTAAGGCATGCGACCCTTAGACAAAATGGTGGGTCATACTCGCTTGGCAAGCCCCATTATATTTTCATATAACATTATCCTA